TTGAATTTTGTCTCCGAATTACCTTAGTTCTGCTCCGAATAACCTTCTGACGTCAAGCAACAATCACTTTTTATTTATGACGTCAACTTTTTCAAATTGTAATGTCAAATTTTACGGGAACTTGTATGATTTTAGGTAATGGCGGACAAATTTGCATACAAGTGTATACGTCTAATTACCAATTGCAATGTTTTGCACAGCTGTTACGTCGAAAGATGAGTAGGTTCACAAACTACTGATATTTACCATGAACAATGCAGTAAAAAATCAAATTGGTAATGATTACACCCTTTTCACAGAACACATATTGACATTATTTAACGTATTCAATATCAAAGAGTAAAGTATATAGTGTTTTACTGATGATATCATTATTACGTCATAAGTATGTATTTTTTGCACTGAAAAAATATTTTATGATTTTCTCTTTTTTTTATTTTATCTACAGTGGATTTATTTATATCCCGCTTCAAATTTTTGTGTGTTGAGGAAAGCAAATGGAAGTGTACATTTAATGTTTAAATATTTTTTTTATGACAAATTCTGCATACAAGTCTATTATTAGTATAGTTAATTTGTATTTTGTTGATCATCTTATAAAACTATACACGTAAAACTAGGACAATAACTATCCCACAAACAATAATGAATCCATAGTATTTCTGGTTTTGTGGTAGTTTTGGGGTACGATAGAACAAATGTCGATACTTGATATATCTTTATTCTTTTTTCTCTGCAATTGATTTACATGTCTACCATTATAAACGTCTTTTAATATAAATTTTCAAGTATATGTTGTCCCTTTTTTCCTGTGTATAATACAAAGGACAGCCACTGTAAATATTATAATATGTACTAAACTTAATTAAAAGAACATCTGTTAAGTTGCAATCCATCAAATCAGCTGAAATAAAGTATAAGAGATTTTGTGTTAACAAACTCCAGAAGCGAAGTTAATGCTTGTGTATGGCAAACCCTACAAATCATTCTGAACAAAACATTGAATACGATTTTCTCCACTACATGTTGGTTAAGGTAATTATACTTTTGTCAGGTTTGTTGTGTTTCAATGTTTACTATAGGACATATCTTGAGCTAACAAACGTAACTAAATATAGAAATGATAAAGTAATCGTTTCTAATGGAAAACGTCAATATAAATCTAATCATAAACTAAAATATAAGGTAAACGAATTTATGTGGTACGAATGTTCAAATTCGAATATAAACTGTAGGATGGTTTGCGTTGACAAATCAACATTCAAAAGGCTTCATATAAAAAATTGCAATAAAAGCAACCTGATCAAAATCCTAGTAGGTCTATTATAACAGCACATAATATGAAGTAACAAGATTAAGATTGACTACATTCCGAATAAGTCTATAGATCATTGACATTGGAAATATTTCAAAGATTAAGAACTGGTGAAGTTTATGTTATGATGTGGCATTAGAAAATCTTCTGGTGAAAGTAAAATATACGGTTGTCAATTACACATGGTGTTAAGGTATGCTGCACAGTTTGGTTCCATTCCTATGTAAGCTAAAGGAGATTTTTTGCTATAAACTTCGGCATTTATTCACTAGTTATCAGATTCAAAATAAAGGACGTCATTTACACATGTTGTCAAGTAATTCTGTCAGGTAAGTTGTCATTCGCATGTTAATTGTAGGAGATTTTGAATTGACGAATACTGATAAATGAAGAAAAAAGTGAAGCCTATTTTTTGATGTAGGAAACCATCAACAATCAATCTCATCAATTTAGATTAAGATTAATTTCAATAAAAAATCGTTTTGCTGGTTGTCTTTTTCAAAATTTAATACAAACAATACCTTTCGGACCTTAAATTGCACTTTTGTTCTTGTTTGTCAAAACATAGTATAGAATAATATAATTGTAGCTTGCTGTTAATGACAACGGCGAATGGGTTGTGTCATATCGGTGCTTCAATGTAATCTTTGATGATTTTCTGTCTGCTTCTGACAACAGTGTCGCATTAATCTATTTGGATTAGTGATTTCCATTAATAGAATAAAATAAAACGTTTTAGTGCTGACACCTGTTTTCTTATGGGTGCAGTTCAGGTCCATATGAGTGATAGAAAAATTGTAATTACCAGTAACCAAATTATGAGTCGGTGCTGTCCAAGTCCATTTGATTAATATAAAAACTGTAATTAACAGTAAACCTTAGCCATGCGTGAAAGGGGGTTTTACGACGTACTGTTCACAAAGTAATAATGCAGTTCATTTATTATTGTCGTTGTTAAGATTTCATTTTTCTGAGCTGTTCTAACAATTTAACGCAATTTAAGACGTAGTGAAAATTTTCACATTATTTATTCAACACCATCTTCCTAAAGTCTTTCAATCTTTACCAAACTCGCTGTATCATAGATTCATAGGCGTACTTTATGGTTTTTTAACAATAATTTGGCGTATTTTCAAACAAGTGACCAAATTATGAATGTCTATAAACTTTCACCTTGACATTAACAATTCAAACTGAGATAAAAAAAAAAAAAAAAAAAAAAAAACATAGCTCTCACAACAGCTTAGTGCATAATTTGTTTTATTGTATTGATGATATTGAAGAAACAGTTTTATTGTCGTCCAATTTCTTACAAATACTTTTACGTCTAACGTGATCAGTGTTGTAAATGTATATCAAACCGGTAGATGCCAACAACAGAAAACAAGCATTTATGAATGAATATCCCCTGAATGCAGGAATGCTTATTTTTAGGACAAAACTTTCTCGGTTTGTTGAATTATCAACAAGGAGAAAGTTTCCAATCAGAATGTCAATTATTAAAAAGGACGGGAGTTAAACTTACAAAGTATTTAACATTGTAATAGCCCTGATTAAAATCCCCAGTTTATAAAAAGGACACTATGGAGAGTTGTCTCATTGGCACTCATACCACATCTTCCTATATCTACTAACAAAATGGTGGCGTATCAATAGGGCACAAATAAAAAGGTGGCGTATCAAAAGGACACTAACAAAAAGGTGGCATATCAAAAGGGCACTAACAAAAAGGTGGCGTATCAAATAAAGGCAACAGTAGTATACCGGTGTTCAAAAGTCATAAATCGATTGAGAGAAAACAAATCCGGGTTACAAACCAAAACCGAGGGGAACACATCAACTATAAGAGGAAAACAAAGGAACAACAGGAACACCGAAGTGCAACAAAAACAAATGCCAACACACATAGAAACGAACTATTTAATAACAACTGCCATATTCCTGATTTGGTACAGGACTTTTTAAGAAAATATGGTGGGTTGAACCTGGTTTCATGGCATACCAAACCTCCCGCTTTATGACAATGTTAAAAAATATCGCTAAAACACTACGTGACAGAAGTACAGCACAAACACACGCAAGAACATTCATAACAGAGAAACGAACAAAAAAATGATATGATAGTCGACACAACATGCAAACCTTTGAACAAAAAACGAACATATTCCATCAACGAAAAACACCACAGGATATCAAAAACAGTGACGCGCTAACGTAACTAACATGCAATCTCAAACTTTATACAATTATTTTCACAATATTTGTCCAAACAATTTTCATGACAATGACGGTAAAAATGGCAATTTTATAGTTTTGGACTACAAACGATAAGACATAACACATTATTCAACCGAAACCATAACAAAAACCTCAAAAATAAATACATGAATGTTGGATGTACAAAACACAGAGACACGTCGTATAGCAATGTAAATTCACTCTCGGTATAACAGTCATATTCGGGAATAGGTCACGTTCGGTTACGGTTATCAAAAGGGTACTAACAAAAAAGGTGACAAAAAATCAAATAAATACTAGTAATAAAATGCAACGTTTACGAAATCCTATCGTTTATACAAGGTGATCGGTTATTGGGGTTGTTGGTTGGTTAAAACGTTTTCCAGAGAATTTTGGGACTCTTCTTGACACAGATAAATTTCAACGTCATAACATATCCGTTATTTGAATGGTTCGCTAAATATCAAGATTGAATAATTATTTAATGTATAACTTAGTTCATGTTGACTGTTTAACTCAAATAGAAGTTGTCCAGATAGAAGTTAACAATATCGCGGTTAATGGTATTTAAACTTGTAAAACATATAGTAAGAAATAAAATGTGGGTACACGTACCATTTTTCCCCAGTCAGACATAACAACATGAAAATGAGCCATGTTATATGATGATTGATTGGATACGTATTGTAGTTGTATATAAATGTATAATAATTTGCCATTGCACAGTGAAAATGAAAGTGCCTTTTCTACCACTAATCAGCTTCGACTGAAAACGACCATTTACTGAAGAACAGTTACGGATTTTGCAACGTCCTTTTCTGATTTACAAAAATACCCCGGTTTTAAACGTGATCAATGTTTACTGTATATAAATGTTAAATTGTACAAACGTTGAAGTTTATTCAAAAATAGTCACAAAAGATTACAAATTGCCTTGCATCGATCAATATAAATTAATTAAAATCACTCCATGTTATCACTATTAGATTAAATTAGAATCGTGTTTCCAAAAACATCATGTATTTGACAGATTTCCATGATTTAGTTATATACTAAAATGGTTCTTTATTCTGAAATTGCATAACTTCAACAAAGCTCAAAATAATTACTATCGTGTATGTAATAGGTGCTTCAACTTAACAAATGTACTCAAATAACTTGGGTACGTGAAAATTGACTGAAAGACTGAAAATAACTGAATAATTTATTGTTCAAGTTTTAAATAGCTTTTCAGATAAAAATGACGATTCCAGATCAAAATTGGTTTACTAGTGATTGCATTTTGCTTAATACAATACATAATGACAAGACGATAGTGTTTTAGCGTCTACATACCTAATGAAACTCCGTTTTTATAACAAATTTTAAAATGTTGGAAGAGGGTCGGGGGTCAAATTGTTTATTACATTTGTAACTTTGGAAATTACGTTTTCACTAACTCTTTCAGGACACTCCGAAGAAACCAAATACGACTATTGTCTTGGGAAGTAATTGACGGACTACAGCTTTTGAGATTGTGAGTATAGATGAATTTCTTGCAAACCATCAGAAAACAAAAGCAGAGCAAAGTGAAGCTGGATGCAAGAAAAATTATTCTACCTGTGCATAAACTGCAAAACTAAAATATTGATTAATAGAAAAATTAAAAGAAGGACATATACTTGAGAAGGAATCAAATCGATTGGTACTTACTGTGACATATTATCGCTGCCTCACTCAATTACTATAATGGATTGCTGTTTATACAAAACTTTTAAAGAACCCCACAAAGCACCGCTGGATAATTTTTAACAATAGCTTTAAGTATATTTAGACGTTATTTTATCTGTCATGGTTCTACTATATACTAGCACCACTGTTGTGAGAGTTCCTCTTCTTTTTACAAATTTTCTATGAGGCAAAATTGATTTCCTCAAGGGAAATTAAATTTTTATTAGGGAAAGCTACATTTTCTTAGGGGAAATTTTCATTTCCTCGAGGGAAAAACTTTTCCCTTAGGAAATATTTTGCAATACTATTTCCTTAAAGGCTATCCTTTGCTTTAAAATTTCCTTCATGGAAATCTGGATAATCAAATTCCCCTTGAGGAAATAATGTTTTCCGCAGAGGAAATTTGTAAAAAAAAAGGGGTAAAAGGTTCTAAACTTTACCAATTTTAAGACAAATATCAGGGAACCAATACCAGTTTAATGCGTTACTTCAATTGTCTTTATCTACAAAAACAACTCGTCAACTTTTGCACTTAGCGGAATGGTAAACTTGTTAAGAAAAGTGTTAGGTGCTTCTTATACAAAAAACAACAACTGGAAAAGAACTACATAAGTTTTACAATCACCATCACGAATTGGTTGACAAAATCTTCACTAAGGACGTGTTTTTGGCTGTGTTAGATCTTTAGGTGCGCAGTATAGTCGTCTTGTCTGTAATTTAACCGATGGTGTCCACTTCCCGATTTTGACATTTGGCTAAGTATGGATTCCCATGGCGGGTGATGCATGAATAGCAGAAGACGTTTAATCTGTCAACACACTCGGTCTCGCTCCTTTTTGAGTTCATGTGATTCCCTCAGTTTTTGTATTTTATCTTAATTTGTCTTTTCTTAATCGATTTACGAAATTTGAACATCGGAAAATTACTGTCGCCTTACTATATCACTAATCTTGACGAATTTGCATTTCCTTTTAATAAATTTCCGTTCCTTGGTGCCAATGATATGTCGAAATCTTCTGATGGACTGAACACTCACAGTTGTTCAATGTGAACGTTTTCGCAGTAACGTCTCATAGTTTCAAATTATGTAACATCTTAAAAATAACTCTGGTATCATTTCTTGATTTGATTTGTAAATACAATTTTTGCGGAAATTTTTGAAATTTGTTTCCGCTATTCGTAGAAATCTTTTTTCTTGGTCCATACACTTGTCTGTTTGCTTTTGATATGTTTTGTTTTTGTTTTGTAATCTGGCAATATATTATGCCCTTCAAAATAATTGGTTTGTTATCTACAAGCTGTTATATTAGTTAAAATATAAAATAAACATATTTGTAATTATTCAGATATAAGTAATTCATTAAGCTTTACACCATTTTGTTAGTAAATTTACTTATTTTTCACCGGTCTTTAAATACTTTAGATCTTATTTTGAACATCCCTTTACAGAACTGTCGTTTTTCAGGTCTAATCCGTATTATTTTTTTTTTGAATGATTTGCTCCTGTAATTTTTGGAGCGGTCGTTATTAGTGTTTACTCATTACTTCTTGTGACAACAGTGACAATTCTAGAAATAACCACATAATGAAATTGAATAGCGAAAAATATTCGATTCCCAAGTCGCTCATAGCTTTTTCAACGTTTCGACGGCAGCTTATCTTTTTTAAACACTATGGTATTTTTTTCAAAAGAAAACTTATCATATGGTTTATAATGTATAAGATATTATATCTTAATCAGCGAAAAGAAATACTCGGTTTTATTATTAAAATTATGGAGCATTGGACACACATACACACATGCAACATTACCAAAGTGACAGTAATTGTTGAAATGAGAATCTGATGCAATTAAATTGGTACCATTTATATTATTAATACCAATAGGTTATCATACGCCCAATAGCCAGTACTTCGGTTCTTCCATGACAAAACCAGTATTGTTTTATTTTAATTAGCAGTTGAATTTCGAAATTATTTAAATATAAGGAATTTATCACTTTAATGCATGGCTCGGATTCCTTGTCTGTGTTTGGCCTTTGTTTTCGTCCTTTTTTATTTTAACAATCTCTTCAGCGTTTGTATAAGGTTTGGGACTTTCAAACAGTTTGTCCTTGAGCATCACTGAAGAGACATTAATTGTCGAAATGCGCATCTGGTGCAGTACAATTGGTACGTTTAATGTTGTAACTATGAAAAAACACTGCGTTTAATATCATATAGGTCTATATAGAGGTCATTGTGAACAAGTTAACCTTGAAACCGACGAAAAGGTACACATAAATGCTTGGAGGACATAAAAGCGGGAACCTCGTCAGTAGTTGTCGTATGACATATCGTAATTATTCATTTTAGGTTTTATACAGAAGATTAGCAAAAAAATCTCATTGTCATGCTTCTGTTCTAGTAGCTTGATAAGTATTTGTATTCCACAAAACCACACATCAACCATTGATATTAGTGGTTGGCATCATCGTAATTTTAAATAATATTTGTCTCATTTCTTAAATTTATGTTATGCTTTGTGTCGTCTACATTTAATTATTATGTTCACAAAGAAACGTTTCTCGTACTACAGAAGCTTAGAGAAAAATCCTTTACCTTGCAACTGTTCTAGTCTATGGATAAAAATTCTACAAAACCACACGTCCATCCTTGATAATAGTGGTCATCATCTTAGGTGTATAAAGGAAGAAGGAAACAGACAGAGCTATCAGCTGTCAAAAGTCAAGATACCTCATTGTGGTTGGTATATGTATATAAATACATTGAATTCTGTCTGTAAAATGTTCATGGCTTTCCGAATGCATTCAAGCGAAGGCAACGCCATTAAGTTACGTTTCCTCAGGTCCAGTAGATAACATTATTTATATACGCAAACGTCAAGATGAAATATATTCTTTTTTTTAATCTTCCTAGACCCCCTCTGGCGAAGATACACAAATCAAATAGCCATCGGAACAATTATAATCGAAACTGAAACTATTAATTTTTTTCATCTCGGGCTCCCGCGCTTTGTTTTTGAGTCACCGATTAGGTTATTTTTACAACCGTCACGAGTTATATTGAGAGAGCTACACAGGTTTTATATTTTTATGCTTAAGGTTTATAACCCCTTCTGTGTAATACGAAATTTTCAAAGTGCAATAATATAAAATCTGCAAAAATACCGTATATTAAGTCATGTTGTACATATACCAAAGGCAATGTCGCTCACTGCAATAATGTTTATTGTTTCAGTGCATTTAATGAAAATGGAGACTTTGTGGCAAATCAAGCCAACTAGTTTACAGAAAATCCACAGACTTTATTATAGAGATTTTAATTGTAACGTTTTAATTCCAGGCTACTCTCTTTTTTCCATGTTCTCTACCATTTTATTGATTACAAAAAGTTCTAAACGACCTTTACAATAAAAAAACTGTATTAAAGACTTGTTTTAGTGAAATCATTGCTAGCACTACATGCAGTAATCCTCTAACTATAATTAACCGAATTGTATAATACAAAAATACAAAGGGAAAGTGAAATTTCCATATGTTTAGCATTGAAACAACAACAGGTTATATAATCCTTAATGTTGATTATTCTTAAACATTTAAATCTTTGAATTATTATTCAATAAACATGTATCGTTGCCATTAAATTGTGTATGATTTCACTGTTACAGTTTTATGTTGACATAAAAATCACGTGTTTCTGTTAATCAGTTTAGTCTCGATTTATTATTGTTATTCATTGAACAAAGGTATTATGAACATATTGTTTAATTCATGGATATATATTGAAACACAGATACCGAAAAAAGAAAGCAAGTACAAATTTAAATTGTCTGGGAACAATCCTTCATTTCCAGTAACGGGAAGAAGGACTTTGAGTTGAGCATAACAATGAAAATAAACAGTCATCCAGCATTGTCTCTTAGTTTAGAACATAATCACATATTCGAGTGACAATACAATTTGATCCTTTCCTATTGTTGACAATCACACCATAATATGTGTTCATTTTAAAGTGTTAAATTTGTTAATTAATAATATAAATCATATTTAATGGTCATTTCAACAGATGGAATGAAATAGCCCCGAGATAGTTTCGTGAGGGCGAAGAGGATAAACTGATAATTTGTGTGTGCTTCCAAATTCCCTACATTTACATAAAACACAATGATAAATAATCTTTTATTATAGATAAATGTATTGGTTTTTTCCCTCAAAAATCACTTTTGTTTTATATATCAACAGTCATTATTTCTTTAAAAAATATTATAACACTGACTCTAAGGTCTGGTATAATAATAATGTTAAGTGTTGTTTTACCTATGTGTTCACATTTTCACCCTTTTGGGGTTTTTTTTGTACTACATATTTACCCATTATGTAAAAATAGTGATTTTCCATTGAACGAGAAGGGGTGAGTATGTTCTAAAATATAAAACCTGCGAAATATGACACTGTTACTTAACACATGTAACACTGGGGGAGTAAAAGTCTACTTTTAAGTTATTAACCAAGTGTAGTGACACAATGTGGAAACAAAATTTTATCTACTCAACACATAAACATTACCGGTATATTTAAAGAAATTTAAAAGGAAATGTTTACATTATTTTAAGAGTTACCAAGACTAAGAATTACGCCAGGTATTACCACAGTAAATGAAACTGGAAGTACTGTGATTAAATGCGCAGCAAAAAAAGATGTTGAACCAGAACCGGAAGTCAGCTGGGAAACATACGACTTAAAGTCAAACTACACCCTGGTTCAGGGAAATGACAAGACAAAGATAGAATTACACATTCACAATGCTAGTTCTGATGATAATGGATGGCTTAAATGTGTTGCCTGGAGTTTGGCGGGAAAGAAATATGAAACGAGTAGATTCAATGTGTCTTGTGAGTCTTCGTTTTATTATTTAATACACATGTTGACTTTCACATTTAAGCAAGAATATGCTTCTTTCTGGGATATTTACTAATCATCTAGTAATTCCGGAAAGCTAAAAATTGGACTCCAATTTAATAAATTAAATCATGCAAATTAGTGTCATTAATTTCCAAAAGAAAAACCACACCTTCTTCTAAAACCAAATATAAATCGTATATCAAAAATCTCGAAATGCTGTTTTACTTTTAAACAAACACCTTGTTAACTATTTTTTTTTCAAACTTAAATGCTTGAAAGTATTTATTCTGATATGTGTTGATTGTTGATTTCCGACGTTCGTTTGACAACGGATAACGTTTTAAAATCTTACTTATTATTTTATTCTTTTATACCACTTATTTATTACTTTTGCATATATATGTTCAAACTATGTTTTGTGGTTATCAGTAATAGTTGAATAATTCTTCACATGCATATGTCTACATGAACATTGATGTAAGATATTGTAACATATTTTTTTGTCCCATGTACATTAACAAAAAAAGAGTGCTGTCTTCACTTTTAGAATATGATATGAAAAAGCACATTTCTATAAATCCTTAACTTTATAGTGAGAGGATATGTTTTGCATGTATTGACACAACGAGTTGTTTGTGGGCTTATTGTGTTCATATCTATTTTCTGAGTTATCATTAATGTAAAATAACTGTCATCCATAGAGATCAATATACATTTTGTAACATAATTTTGCAGATGCTCCTAAGATTCTTAGATTATCTCCACCCGTGAGGAAATTTGATTGGTGCATAGGGTATGAAGTACTCGGCAACCCTTTACCATATTTAGAATGGTACAGAAATGGGCAAAGATTCAATGACACCAAGTCTGCTTATCATTCTTCATCGTCCGACGGAATTGATAACAAAACCGGATGTTTGACGTTTGAAATGACAAATGGTCTCCATAATGGATTGTATAAACTTGTAGCAACTAATAGTTATGGAAGAGCAAGTAAAACAGTGGAAGCTGATTTCATTAAATCTAGTTCCGGTGAGTAATAGAGAAACATCGTTTGTATGTAAAATCTAGATGATTTCCGAAAGGCAGATAACTATTTACAATGATTTCATTTGATGGAAGCCGTTAACATTGGGGATATGACAACGTTTTCGAACAAATGGAGTGTTTCCTGAAATGAATATAATGGGGGGGGGGGGGGGGGGGGAATCTGATAAAAAAATTTAAAAGTGTGAATAATGCTGTAAATCTCTTGAATGAACGAAGTTTTTAGTGCAACATTTGGTCCCAAGATCTTGATTAAAATTAAAACACCAAAACGCTTATTTCGAGTTTCAAGACTTTAGTACGAATCATCTCAATATTACGATTGGTCAACTAATGACAATGTCAAAAATGTTCTTTTGTGACTGTACAAAAATTACAGGTAAACGGTTTATTTGCTTCAAAAACTTCAAAATTGGTGTATTTGAACAGTTTTGAACTAGGGTAGGTTTTCTTTTGAATGAAGGTTAAAATGTCTCTCAAGACGTCAAAAGGTCATGCAAATAATTTTGGTGAAAAATCAAATGTTTTGAATAAAAGCGCAATTACAGCAACGTAATTTTGTTTATGGAATGGGAAAAATTAGTCTACACTTGGGTGAAATATCTTGATGCTGAGACAATATACAGTGAAAATAGACTTAAAGATTTAGTCAATATATGTGGTAAAACTTGCTTTTTTCGCGATTAAGAAGATTTCAAGGTCAAAGATATGCACTGATATGAAATAGAGAAGACATTTTATTAATCTTTCAAAATATAGAAAGACCTTGTATTTCTTTTTAAATAATATACATGTACATTTTTCGTAAAGTATGCAGACAATGTAGTGACTTAATGGCCTTCCTTCAGTTAAGTTTGCGCAGTAGATGGACAGGGGGACGGACAATTGCAATCTCAGCTGCTTAATATTCACCATCCAGATTAAGTGGGAAGCAGTTGTTTGATTGATTGTTGGTTGTTTATCGTCCAGTGGCAAATATTTCATGCATATTCAGGAAGAGAACAAATTAACAATAAATACAGTAGGTAGGTCCTGTAATAGAGGCCGTCCGGGATGAAAGTCAGGGAAATTAAGACTGCCACTAGAAAATGAGGGTAGATTGAATATGGACAGAAACTTGGCCTTGCAACAGGCCACCTACGGACCCATCAAAGTGTTGTTGCACGGGTTCTTGACCGGCAATAATACCACATCTTTTTTTTTATATTGACATAATTTTTTTTGTGGTAGCTTGTATTTTAAAGCATTTTAATTTATTCGAGTCTTCGTATAATCTCAGGTCATTAAAATATACCACAACGATATGTTCAAAATATGCCTAATATTATTACAAAATTTATTGTACATGCCATGATTATTCAGATTCTTCCTAGTTTGCAACACCAATTATATAAGACTTCTGCAAGCTTGTATTTCGTTTCCTTCGAATTTGCCTTCTCTATATTTCTTGCAAAAAGTTTCAGCGAACTTGAATTATATCTTTTACTTTCCTCACAATTTATAATTCTTTGTTTATTTATTGGATCTAACTTGATGAATCTTTTAAGTTTATCAGCATTCTTGTCTTTTACATAAATAAAGATTCGAAATTATATGGAGTCTTATGCAACTTATCTATATATTTGATTTACAAAGGCGATAGACCGCCAGATACCAGACCTCTAGATCAACCAAACCAACTGAATACTGGAAGTCATGCCACGGTAGAAAACTCCACTGCCAAAGAGAAAACTTCTGATAATATGGTGGTAAGTTTTTTATGTATTTAAAAAATTGATAATATTGAATTTAACTACACCAGAGTAGGTCCACAAAACTAGGGGCACTTGGTAAAATTATATCATTGAATACATTTTTACTATTTGCATTGTTAAAGACAAAAATGATAAAAATAAGAAGTAACTAATTTTGAAGAAAAATATGATCTGTTTTAAAAAAAAAAACTCATCTTTATACTGGATACCTAAACTTCACAAAACTCCATCTGTCATATTCCTTACTTGGTACAGGCATTTTCCGAAGAAAATGGTGGGTTATACCTGGTTTTATAGCTGGAGTTATTGGGTGACAGAACATCATCAATGATTTATATATCTAAAAGTAATATCAGAACCTTTGATTTTTCTACTCTTTATACTACTATTCCCTAAAGTCAATTGAAATTTATGAATTACTTTTTTAGGGGTGATGAACAATCTTACTTTTGAATGGAATCACACTGATTACCACGACAAATACACCGAGGATGATATCATTAAGATGCTGGATTTTTATATCGATTACTTTTTTTTTAGTTTGGTGGATCGATGTTTCAGCAGACAATCGATGTTTCAGTTGGGTTTTAATTGTGCACAACTATCAGCCGACTTTTTTTTATGCACATGAAGCAGAATAATAATTAATGCAAATCCTTCTCAATGACAAAACGAAAAAGCATCTTGCAAAGTTCTTTAATTTCACTTTCAGATATATTGATGAAGTTCTGTCACTCAATTACCTATATTTCAATGAGATCCTTACATCTCATATATCCCAGTGAACTTAGGATTAATGATACTATCAAAAGGAGAAGGTCTGCTTTATATCTTGATCTTTTCCTCGATATTGAAACATCTGGACGGCTTCAAAATAGAATCTATGACAAACGAGGTGATTTCAACTTCCTAATTGTCAATTTCTCATTTCTCAGCAGTAACATATCCTTTGCTCCATCTCTACGTGTAAACCTATCTCAGTTATTACATTGCGCTTGTGCATTTTTACACTATACGGACTTCATTAACAGGGGTGTGCTCCTTACAAGAAAACTGCTCCAACAGAGTTGACAATGAACAGCTAAATTCGACACCACATACGTATAACGAATTAATTACCTGATGCGATATGTCGGTGTCGGTTTAGCTAGCTATAAAACCAAGTTTAATCCACCATTTTCTACATAAGGAAATGCATATACCAAGTCAGGAATATGACAGTTGTTTTCCGTTCGTTTGATGTGTTTGAACTTTTGATTTTGCCATTTGATAAGGGACTTTCCGTTTTGAATTTTCCTTGGAGTTCGGTATTTTTTTTATTTTACTTTTTCCAAACTCACTAGCAATATGATTCGCATGTCATGCATAGTATGAGACGCTTACCCTGTCGACACACCCGGTCTCGCTCCTTTTGGAGTTCATGCAATTCCCTCATTGTTTGATTGTTACCTTGATTTGTCTTTGTTTATTCGATTTACGAGATTTGAAAATCGGTAAACTACTGTTGCCTTAATTCGTGATTTGGCACTACCTTTCTATTTAGATAGCCTCAAACTACCATTTTTCTTCATTTAATGACAGTAAGCATTTCCAATAAGTAGAATGACACCGTGACCGGATCAAATACAGTTTATCTTTTTTTTTTCTGTGGTTGATTTTGTTCATTCTGTAGTTTTTAGCATCTTGTTCTTGAGGATATATGTTTGGCAATTTTCATCCATAATTTTTATAAAGAAAATAAATAGACAAATGTATTTAATGAGTGTGTTTGTTTCTGTCGAGACATTTGAACCAAATGTACGGTTAAAATGGATAGTGAATATATATACGTCTTACAAATTGATTTTGAAGGAGTTGTTTTTTGTATTGAAGTTTATTGATTTTATTTAAATTGTATTTATATTTCAGTACATTGTAATATGTCGTTTATTTTTATATTACTATTTTGTATTTTCATGTTATCATATCTTAGAGGGTTTTTACTCATTGAGATATGTTGTTGTTTTTAAACATTCTTCAGTTTTTGTAGGTTCGCTAGACCATTTTCCATAAACGTATGTTTGAAGAGAGTTGTAGAATCAAATCTTTTTGTTTTTTTTTATTCGTTCATAGATTTTTCAGGACATTCGCTACTACATAATTAGGTTTAAAGTTATTTTATGGTTACAAAAAAAAGAAACAAAGGGAGAATACAAAGTACAATACCATATTCGCTACGTATAAAACATGTAGTTCAATTCAATCTGAGGATCATAGAGGCAACAACAAAATAGGTTTTGCATTCAGTATATAAATGTGGTATGATTGCCATCGAGACAACTATCCATCAGTGATCAAATGACGAGGATGCAACAAAACTATAGGTGTATGTACTGCTTCAACATAAGCCAAATTTATACCGTATAGTAAGCTATAAAAGTATCGGTAGGATGTAGGACCACAAGTGTTCATAAATATACAGGAATACTTATTAAGTTAAAGTATTATTCATTACAAAAAAAATGTTTTAATAATAAAGACAATATTCAAATATCTTACTGCAATGCTAAGTTGATAACCTTTATTCAAATGATTAATAAGTTTTACAATTGTCGTATCTAAATTATCTGGCTGTATAAACAACATCACGGTAAGTATTCCGATGTGATATCCCGTCTGTAATAAGGTTGCCACAGGTATAGCATAAGTAAACAAAAGCTTTGTATCTATGAAAGAACTTTGTAAAGGTTTTAAGATAATGTGTGGTCACGATATCTATGATTTAATTAATTTCCATTTTTACATATATTTCTGCACTGAAATCCAAATCCAAAGGTTTGGAAACATTCACACGAGGCTCGTCACCTTCCAAAAAAGGAAAGTTAACAATAGGGAACGAAAAATTGTCTCTTTTTTTTTTTTTTTTTTGGTATATGTATCAGAGAAGACAACACTTTAGTAAAATGTCTTTGTATATAAAGAAAAAGAAAGACTATCATCGCCTGTAACATGTTATTGCCTAAGGGCAATATGTTCATTTTATATATACATCAAAATGACCTACATATGCTAAAGGATGCAATGAACGACATTGACTTCTGACTCATGTTTAGCTTATAAATATTTACTTCACGTTTTACAATTAAAGTATTCAGACAAAGCTTTTCCAGCATTTCCGTGTATTGCGTTTTGACGATCAAATGATTACCTAGTCTCATCCCAGGAAAGTATATTTCCTTTTGTTGGAATTGAATAACGATTGAAAGGTGTTTTTGACCAAATAATCAATACTGTTTCGAAATAAACAAGGAAAATTTCATTATTCTAGTGCTTTTTATTTGAAAAGATTTTCACAGATTAAACTGAAATTTCAGCACATCTAATAATTCACACTGAAGGTTTTTGAACAACTAGATGATTTTTTTTATTTGCGTGACATTTCAAAACTGTGTTTTAATTATATGGCACATTGTTCATCTAATATTTATCATCCAACACTGTATGGATCATTTGCATATCTGATATGTTATGTTACCATAAAAAGGTATGGTTCGAATAGATAAATCACGATATCAGTTTGAATCTTTAATATAGTCTACATTTGCGTGCATTTATTACACGAAGGTCGTTAAATGTTTGCTAAAATAGATTTGATTACTTAATATAAAATTAATTTATTCGCGAAATCATCAATAATATTATACCAACAAGTAAGCAAAAGAACTGCAGATTTTTTAATCTCTGCAACTAGGCACCATTTTAAGTTTTCTACAGATTCTTCTAATTTTGTTTATAAAACAATTCTCCTTGAATTATCATACAAAATCAATTCAAGGGAATTTTTCGATGCCAATGTAAATACAATATATTGTTAATCAAAATTTTCATAATATGAACTAAATTTCTTAAATTAATATATCAGAAGATCATAGTTTTTTTTTACAACGACGAAAATTACAAAAGAAGACAGCCTGATAATGTGCTTACCGTGGCGATGTAAAGAGCACTTCGATTATAGAACAAAATAAGTTTTGAAGGAGTTTTGGGCATTTTTGCAATGCTTTCTGGTAATAATATTTTTTTCTGACACTTTGAACTACTGTTAAAACTAACAAACTGACAATTCCACTAATTTGAAGTTTGTGTACGACGGCTTATGCTTTTGAGCGTTTTTACGAGGTTTGCTTCAAGAATAATATGTGAATGGCATTTGTCTTATATCGATTTACAGATTTTCATTTATCTGTTTACGGCTGTCAATTTCATGTTGTTTCCAAATTAGTTTAATATATTTCACGACAAAAACAAGTCATCAATTGTCTAAGGAGTGTGATCTAAATTACATTAACTGTGGTAAATTGTATTTCTTGTTACATATTACAGATTTACATTGCTACCGGAAGTGCCTTGTTTGTTGTGATTCTTGCAATGACAGTTGTTGTTTTTATGGTACGTCGATACAGACAAAAAAATAACAGGCCACCAAATGTAACTCCTTTTACATCTACATCCTCACATCGCCCTTTACTAAGTCCCACATCTAGGCCTGACGAGAAGAATGGACCTATGAACCGAGAATTGATGCCCTTAAAACGCGTACAGATTGCAGAAAATCCACAATATCATAAACAATGTCGACCGAAATGTAATTCATGTAAGTAAAGCACAAATTGTTGATACTGTTTTTTTTTAATTTTTTATCTGTATAATTAAAACAGATAGATTAGTAATCCGACGACACATAAAACAGAAGACAGCAGGCACGCAAAAAAAAATGAAAACGACACGTTATAAATTTCATGCGTTTGGAGCGCTTTTCATTCAAATGTGGAATATAGAGTTTTATCATACAAAAATAATCGAGTCTCAAATTTTACCAATTATCGAGTGATTTTCTTCCACGTCGATGACATGATGGCAGGTTTCAATGTTTCATAAAAACATTTAAATATATATAATCAGTAATTGATTAGTTGAGTGATTGACTGATTGTTGGTTGTTAAAGAAACTCATAGTGTTTGCCTAAATAAAGAAAATATGTTAAATGAATGTGTAAGAGAACAATTTAATATTCTTTTGTAGCAATTATCCACATAAAAATATCGGACATCACCTTTTTACGAGAACTTGGTGAGGGTGCATTTGGTAGAGTATTTCTTGGTTCCTGTAATAACATACCGTGTGATACAGAAGTAACGATGGTGGCTATTAAAACATTAAAAGATGTCCATGCGGAGAATGCTAAAAGTAATTTTGATCGGGAAGCAGAACTTCTTACAAATCTCCAACATGAAAACATTGTAACATTTTATGGTATATGTGTGGAAGTAGAAACGTACATGATGATATTTGAATATATGGAAAATGGTGATTTGAACAATTATCTGAGGTAAATGATAAAGATAAACAGTATTTTTTTCATATTTAATAAATATAGATTTTACCGCTGCATAGAGAAAAACACCAAATTGATCTTCATACACAAGTTAAAATATCTAAAACGGTAAGCAAGCCTCTTTTTTACCGTTCAAAAATTGAACTATCTAGAGTAAAGAATTTACCACATTGCGCACAATACAGTGGTGAAATTTGTTTGTCAAATGATTTTACAAAATATGCAGTTCTTTTTTTCAGAAATCAGCTAAAATATGTTTTCTTTGTGAAGTCACCAGTCGTTATCGCCTTCTTCCTGTTGTCACAATAGCAAAATCAGAGAAAAGCTATTAAGGGTGACTTCTTGACAAATTTTTTACCAATGAAAAATGTAAACCAGCAACCACACCTTGATTATCAAAAAACAAAATTTTATCTGAGTGACTTTTTGTAATTCTGTACTATCGATATATAAGAATTGTCAAGACAAATAAAACTTTAATTCAGGACTATATTCTCAAGTGATGGAATTACAATGACAAATACAAATCTTTGTTCAATAAAATAGTACATGCAAAAGAAAAGCGGTGAAAAAGCTACTTCATTTTTCCTTTAGGAAACATCTGTGGCACGCGGACTTCATCTTGCTGTCACACATGCCATAATAAAATAGATTTGTTTTTACAAAATATATGGCAATGTAAATTTCTTCAAAGCATCTTGCATCAGCTAAAAAAAGCATCGGTTTGCTATGTGATTAAACAAATGAGTCTAAATTCATAAAATTTGATTGTTCGTGATTTGGTTGATAAATATCTGCATATGAAATCTCGAACCTTTTTTCTAGCATACGAGAACTTTAATATATCTATGCAACTGATCGAGATCCATTTCGTCAAGCATTCTGTGTGAATATTGGATTCCGCTTGATATGGAAACTAGCAGCGTTAATAAAACCAATATGTTCCACGTCTCTTAACCCAATTTACGTTTTCTGTTAGTTCCTATGTAAATAATAGCGTTCTTTTAAAATTCATTTCAAGAGTGCTTGTTTATACTTTTTCACGAAGAGAGGGACTTAGTACTCACAGAAAATTTGACGTTTTTTAATTCACGTTATATATGATCACTTTATGCTCTAAACAAAAGTATTTTTAATAAACTTGTTTGTCAATTCCCATCCTGTTGTACAAATGTTGTATTGTTCAGAGTCATTTTTGATTGTGAATTTCTCTTCTCTTATCGTTTGCGCTTAATGTTCCCCCAGTTTATTACGCCTAATAATAATTTGTTACTACTATTTCAGGACGCATGGACCTGACGCAAAATATTTGAGTAAAAACAGCTGCCATGTGGATACGTTATCAGTAATACAACTTTATCATATAGCCAATCAAATTTCAATTGGAATGGTGTATCTAGCGTCACAACATTTTGTGCATAGAGACTTGGCCACTAGAAATTGTTTGGTTGGAAACAATTTGATTGTGAAAATAGGTGACTTTGGAATGTCACGAGATGTGTATAGTACAGATTATTACAGGGTAAATATAACATCATTTGTGTACATGTTTACATTTCAGTTTTACAAGATAAAATACATTAATGTTTCTATATTATTTTAATAAGCAAACAAATCTTCCATGAAACCCTGTTTCTACCCGAATCTAAGTGTTTTAACAATGTCATTTTAAGTATTTTAACATGTATATATGTGAACCCCGTATATTTTATTTATTTGATTTATCGGTCTTAAGACCTGGCTATTTTGTTAACTAGTTTACGTACCCTTTTCATTTGTTATAAAAACATCATTCATAACCTTTGTTCCAGGCCAGAGTAGAATAGGGTAAGAGAGTTTAGTTGTACTGTTAGCATAATCTTCTTATTTTATATTATATCTTTTGGAATAAGAGTATACTCCCTTTTTGTCATCATTCATTGTAACGCCATGGTTACAAAAATTTAAATGTTAGAGCTCATACCCAGGTTAGCCTCAACACTAAGGCCAAGACCGGCAATGGTAAATTTTGGGGTGTTTCTTGAAGTATATATTCTAGGTTCTCACGTTTTTTATCATCTTATTTACGTGTTATAGTGTTCTTTTATTTGTCTTTGTAAACTATTAACCTATAGGTTGCAATTCTGTAAATATAGACAATGCAATTTCCCATAGGAACTTCCTTTACGGCTAAAACTGTGTCACTTTTACTATGAAGTTTCGTGAAAAATTATATCCTAGAATGGAAATTTGATATGCACTACTATTTTATTCAAAGGTCAAAACATAGGGCTGAGCGGCATATTTTCAACATTTATATGCCCCGAACTTCTACGGGTTTAAACTTATACTAAACTTCCGTACTACCCCTTCCTTCCCTTTTGGCCTACCTTAGAATTCAAAATTCGCCGCAACCATGTGTATATATACTGGTAACATTCCCAAGTTATGTCTCTACATGATGAAACATAGAGATCATGACTGGGAACCAGTACGTAAACAAATAAAATATCTATGAATATTATATATCTCCCCAAAAGAGGCGTGGTTTGTGAAACAGCTGTATTTACAACCTTTAAGGTTTAGTTCATTTGTGAAAATATCCTTTTGGAGTGGCTCGGTGCTTATATATCCCGCCATTGTGTTATTTTGCTTTGGTAATTTTTTGAATTCTGACTTTCATTTTTGCTTATGTGTTTTGTCTATATACCGTTTTGTTTTTCTTTGTTGACGTATTTGTTTGTTTTTATAATGATTAAGATTATAACACTATGTTGACTGCTGTACCCCTATTTTTGACATGTTTTCCTATTATGTCTGTTTGTTTTGTTCACACATTGTTGTCAAATATAATGGAATTTTATGCGACTGTCATACAAGTGACAGGTTCAGCTAGCTATAAAACCAGGTTTAATCCACCATTTTCTACATAAGGAAATTCATGTACCAAGTCAGGAATATGACAGTTGTTTTCCATTCGTTTGATGTGTGAGCTTTTGATTTTGCCATTTGATAAGGGACTTTCCGTTTTGAATTTTCCTTGGAGTTCGGTATTTTTGTTATTTTACTTTTTTCTGTACTTGAATTGTTTGGTATTTTGTTATTAAACAGACCTGTAAAACCACCCTTTTTGCTTTGATGTTACTCTCTCTTTTAAACATTTTGCCATAAGCTTCCGTTTTATTTTGAAGTTCATGATACTGATACCAGCACATTCACATCACATGTTTGAATATTACATTTTTATGATCATCAAATACTCCAGGTGTCCTCATCTTTTCCACATGTTGATCCTCTGGGAGATTTTCAGATGCAGGCGTTATTAAAAACAATATGTAATCGAAATAGTATTTAAATGCTTGTATTAACGTCTGCAAAACAAATTTAGGTAATATTTGTATATTTTTTCTGCTATTAAAATTGATATAATTTATGGTTTCCCGTGAATTAGCTTCGACTTTTCAATTGTTATGTTGAATACTATTGTGGTGTTCATCCACTCTCTACAACGCTGGTACACATGGTAAAGTTTGAACAAATTATTGAATCTCTCATGAACTATTGTTACTCTAAAATTACTATGAATTAAATTATATAGCCAGTAATAAATTAACGACTTTCAATTAATTCAAGATGTAAGTCAGCAATTCCTTCAACCAGGTTGATAAAATATTGAAGGTATGTGTGATCGCCATTTTTTGTGTAGTATAAGTACATATATAACGAAGTTTAGAGGTTTTACAATAGAAAAATGATCGGGCGCGTGGTTGAAAATATTTCGACACCTTTTCTCAATTGGTCAAAAAGTTCTTGACTCCGAATTTTGAGAAATATTATTCATTTCAGAAAATTAAAACGTTATCCAAACATTCCTGCGTGAGTGTATACAGTCGGTTAAGGACATCAACTGCTGTTTTATATTTTGCGTTTATTTCACTTTTATATAGTATTATTATGATCTTTATTGTATTTGCAAAAAGCAATTTAACAATTAAATTGTTACGTTCTATATATTGTTAACTTTTTTAGGTTGGGGGTTCAACTATGTTGCCTGTAAGGTGGATGCCACCAGAGTCATTACTGTATCGAACATTTACAGTCGAATCGGATGTTTGGAGTTTTGGTGTTGTATTATGGGAAATATTTACATATGGACGACAACCTTGGTTTGAACTTTCTAATCATGAGGTATGTAAGATTTCATAACTATATAATCCTGAGTTAAATCTTGAAAGATACAAATACCTTTATTTCATATTTGATTAAGTCATAAAATCGACATTCATAAACATTTTGTCAGTTCATTCGTATTAAAAACAACTTTCAGATGATGGAACGGATGTTGCAATGTTAACGGAAGACATGCTTTCATGTAACATAACTTCACCACAAAATGGGATGTTATCTGTTCATGTTAATTTTAATTCAATGTTAATATTTAAACAACAAATACCAACAACAGCAAACAAACGCAAAAGCATTGCTAGGTAGTTTTTAAAACATGTGTATACCGAAATGACATTTCAAACCAATATATACTTTTGTAAGTAGATAATAACTAATGCAATATACCACAGCTAATGTGTCTTTGGCTGTGTCACCATTCGAAGATGACACGGGTGCAGTGCGCAGGCTCCGACATCATATTACAGTATTAGTTATCAAGAGGTTGACTAGTGTATATAACGATATATTGCTCTCACACAATGTACGATGATAACTTCCCAAGCGTAAGGTGAATATACACACATCCCTCCGTCTTAAAATGACAAAATGTGTAGTTTCTACAAAGGGATAATTACTAACAAAAAACTTTAGGGATTTCCGCCAAAGTTACGAATGAAGCAAACCTAAATAATCATACTGTGTAGAACCAACAATAAATCAAATATGTAAACAGAAGCACTTAAAACTAGAGTTTTTGTCATATGAACCTGGAAATTAATAAATATTATTTGTCACGGCTAAATTAATCATAAACCATGTAAAACGTTGTTCGTCGTACTCTTTTGTATAACTGAATGCTTAGCTTGAATATATACTGAATCAATAGCTTTACATGAGTTGTATCTCTAGGAACAAATTAAACTAACTACATTTTAAAAATTACGTTTCTAATGTGAGTAAACGAGGCGTGTTAAATTTATTTAAACGCCTTCTTTTCCTTTTTCAAATTTATCTTTGCTGTATATTATATGAATGATTGTGAAATATGGGGGAGGACCGAGATCTCCCAAAACTTTGCCAGATATAATTAGGAATTTTCTAAGCCAGTATCCTCGTCAGTTGTGTTTGTTTCTCTGTGTTTTGTCCATTAATAATTAAGGTGTAAGCAGCAATTAAATTGTTGTTGACTATACGATAAAGCAAATCACAAAACTTGTGCTTATCTGACTTGTAAACAGCTATGAATAGTATAATTTATCCGTGTCGTGGTAACTTTTATTTCATATTCTGAACAAGCTTTACGGTGAACAGTTCTGAATTTACGTGATTTTTTAAAATTTCTTTCTTTGTGATGCATGTGTTATACATTTAATGAAACAAAGTATATAATTTTTTTTGAAACAAATGCATAGGTAATAAAAAGCGCAAAAAATAGATTGCTAAAAATCTATACGATTCGAAATTCGATTTCTGACAAAAGCATGGAATGGACAAAAGCACATTAGTTTTAATCAATGAAACCTGAAGACTATTGGTAAATTACTATTGTGTAATAAGTTTTCACACATGTCAATTTCTTATATTGATTTTCGTTCTCATTACCATATGAAATAAGACCTTGAAGCCATCGGTATTCGGAAAGTACAATGGAACTTTAAATAGATATCCCTTCGGAAAGATATCATAAACCATTCCTCAAGGATAATATCTCTGCCAAGCATTAAAAGTGTTAAACTTCTGAAAAAAATCGGTATTTAACAAACACGTTTCAGTATTCGTGTCAATCTTTAATCATGAAAAATTAAATGTTAAATAAATTACCACCAGTTTTCTCCATTAAATTATTGTTAATTGACATCTTCTTGTACTAATTTGTCATCCGTGTGGGATTTCTTTAAGAAATAATTATCATGAGTCGTGTCCTTGAAGGGCAACATGCAATGATATTACATTTACAATTTAATGTACTCAGTTTACACTTAAAAAGTGCATTTAATCTATATGAAATTTTGAAAGTCAACAAAGGAATTCTTCTATGTATCCATTTCATTTCAACAAAAACCGGAATATTAAAGATAGTTAAACTTTGTAACGTCGTAAATATTGAGAATTGATGCAGTACTTTTCGGTAGTACATGGTTTCAGTGACCTTTATTCATATAGTGCTAAGATATGCATTTAATATGCATAACACTTTATGCTTTGATTGTAACGTCTTATTTCTTTTAACTTAATTACAGATAGCATGGGCGTATCATATTTAGTTCAATTTTATTTTGACTTTATTAGACACCGTTATATTTTATCAACTCGCAACACGTATCTGTTTTAAGATGTATGTTTTCAACCATTCTTTGAGAACAAGGTATAGCCTTAAAAGTTCAATCAACCCTATAAACTTTAGATTGTTACGTTTAGTTACCACAAAAGAGTGCAGATAAGAACCATGTCGAAACGAATCAGGTTGATTAGCTGTCAACAAAGATACACTATTTAACATATTTATGTTAATCGGTACTAAACTCTGTATTTTGTCTAAAACCTGGGAAAAGATGTTCCTATCGACTTTTTCAGCAAGTTGTTGCAGGTTGTGCAGAGTTGAAATTTACAGATCATTTAAAGTTGTATAATACACAGTTTTGGCTGCTGGATTTCAGTTATTGTCACATTAACCTATTATGTCTGTTTGGGTTGTTAATCCATTTTTGTCAATATAACGGAACTATAAACAACTGTCATACAAGTGGGAGGTTAAGCTAGCTATAAAACCAGGTTTAACCCAATATTTTTTTCTTAAAATGCCTGTACCAAGTCAGGAACATTACAGTTGTTTTCCACTCGTTCCGTTGGTTTATAACGTTTGATTTTATCAGTTTTTATGGGATTCCCCTTTTTGAATTTACCTTGGAGTTAAATATTTTTGATATGCTTATTTTAAGGTTAACAACTTCAACCAAAACTGTGTACTGCAATAACAACCCTAGAAATAAGTATTGAATTCAAATTAGATAGTAATTGATATATTTGTTAAGTCGGTTTGCCTTCAAGTTAGTCATTATCAGTATAAGACTATACGTTTTTAATGATGAATGTTTTTTTACAGGTAATTCATTATATAACAAATGGAAACTTGTTGGACTGTCCAAATACTTGTCCAGAAGGTGTTTATAAGATCATGTTAGGTTGCTGGCGACAGCAACCTCATAAACGTTTTAGTATGAAGGAGGTTCATAAAATGATTGAAGAACTGTGCCTCTGTCAACCAACGTACCTTGATTTGATTGGCTGAATTTGGAAATCATTTATTGCTCAAGATGACTTGTTGTTATGAAATAGACATTTGTTTACATGAAAGATCGTGATGATTGGTGCTATGGAATATAATACAGCTAAACTATTTGATTGAGTATCTCGTGCATGAAACTTAAGTTTGCTTGTTGGTTTGTTTATTGAACCGTGAATTCTTTATTTGCTATTGTTAATAACGAAACTAACTGGCCAAACATGTTTTATCCATCATCCTGCTGTTACCCTTACCATGATTTTATTGTAGTAATACCAGTTGTTACTTTGTTACTCTATCAACATGTAGTCAACAAATTTAATATTTAAATTTATAGTCTACTTAGCAAACACACGAAGTTAGCTACAATGTGCTTTGTTTATCTTCAAGTATATATGCTGTAAGTGTAGATGGACAAACACTATTTAGTTTGTTTTATGGTAATTAGTATTCTACTAAAAGTTATGAGCATCGTGAAGATTTTTGATGGCCATTCCAAAAATGTACGATATATTCATATAAAATTATTTCGGGTATTCATATTTTCTCATGTTGAATTGTTATACGTTATTGTTTTAAATGATAAATCCCCTGTTCAGAATCAAATATTTCATAGGAGAGAACAGCTAATGGTTTTTAAAGTGCAGTTAGTATAGCGAAATCAGATCAAATATAAAAGTATATGTACAATCAGACAAAGCTAAGAGGAATAAACTCTTGATTGAAGTAAGTGATTTAACAAAAACACATTGTTAGCTGCTCCCATATGTTACGATTTAAGCAAATAAGGTTTTATGTTTGTATTTGGGATAATTTGAAATTAAGTTGTCGATGGTTTGATTCTGAAAAGGTGGATTTTGGATAGAAAACCAGTATTCAGGGATATTTTTTGTCATTATAATGACAGCTGTATCCAGCTTGCTGTGTAATACGGGTCATGTTCATTTCATTAAAGTATATTTAATCTATAATCATTTTCAAGAATTAAATGAGTTTATTCTTCTATTGGTTACATTTTTATCATTGTTAAAATCAGATAGTTTTGTATTTATTGAAAAAAAATGCTCTTAAAGTTATTACATAAATCTGTTCATGTCGGTATTCAATGTATATATCAAATATGAGATAGTTATACATTTATCGGCGGCGGAAGCGTTACTAAGATATTCCGCTGTCCGTCCTTTTACACTTCGAAGAATAAGTCAAAATGTTGACAAAAATTTTATGAAATTTTTAGGTCCAAAGTCTTTTATTTTAAAAGGTCCCTTCAAATGTTGACGATTGTCCGAATTGTTGTTTTAAATATAAATAGCTAAAGGAAGAACAATTTTATCATGTTAAACGATAATTGAAAACAAAACTTCACAAAATAACATGAAATTTGTAAGCGGTACATAAACAATGAAGGTATCACTTTCATGGCCTCCTTAAATGAGGAACTGTTCGCAAAAAGCTGTCATGCCATGCACACTTCGAAACTAGGCTGGACATTCCTTTCGTTTTTGAGGATTTTCTCAACGATAGTTTTGGCGTCGAGTACTTTTATTAACATTAATACATTACCATTAATACCAAAACAAAATCTTGCCGGTCTGTTATTTATATTTACATTGTAGCCAATCATTGTTTTGGTACAGTTTAAGACGAGGATGTTTATAAATTAAAAAAAAACAGTAGTAACGGTATTTATGTTAAATATTCTCGAGGTGTAACCATATTATATTTTTCAAACGATATTTGAGGATATCTAGTTCATGTAGGTTTCTAATGTGTTCACAAGATATTGCCGAGAGGCGAATATTCTAAAAACATTGGCAACATTTGAGTGATATTTTTTTATGCCCCACCGCATCGGACGGGGGCATAAAATGTTACCTTTGTACGTCTGTCTGTCCGAAATTGGTTTCCGTTCTCTAACTTTGTTTTGCCTCAACCAAATGTTTTGAAACTTAGACACAATGCTTATTACTACAGATCAAGTTTGCATCTGGGTGGCATCACTTTTACCGTTCTAGAATTATGCCCTTCAACATATGGAAATTTGCTTAATTTTTCGTTTCCATTCTCTAACTTAAGTTTGCATCAACCAAATAATATGAAACTTATACACAATTCGTATTACCACAAAACTCAGATCCTTTCTAATGTTAGATGCAAGCGGGGGCATCATCTGCATCCACATTCTTCATTTATGTTTTGTTGAAATATCAGCTATTATAATTTATTTATAGTCTTTGACGCATTTCAGATACACACACATACACATAATTAGTCTAACAATGTTAGAGTAAAGATGATTTTTGAAACTTTTCCTACCCACCAGGAATCCATACTTTTTCTTATGGCATCACCAACTAGCATTTTATAGCCCCATTGTCCCATCCTCTAACAGCTGATACGTCTTCCTTGTATCTTACCAGCAAGTAAAATATGGTTTCCCATTACCCTTCGAGTATCTGTTCCATGTTCATTTTCATAGAAGTATGTTATATAACATGAAATAACACACATTTTAAGAACATATCTATATGTACGTGTGTGTCTCTTTTTCAATTTTGAGAACTTTTTCTGAAGATTATTTATATTTACATTTGCTCTTTTGGAAGTGAAAATTACATGATAAAGAAAAGATGTGGTTTCATGACTATTTTTGCAAAGGTCAGAATAGCCTTTATAGCAATGTCACATTCATCTAATGTTCACGATTTTTACATAAAGCATTGACTGTTTACAAATATTATTACGCATTTTGGATCAATTCCAAAACTCGAACTACTTTTTATCTCTTGTCCAATACGAACAACTCAAACGGAACAATTAATGACGGTAGAAAAAGTTTATGCTATACATATTTCTGTCTATTTTAAAACAAAAATAGCTTTCGAATACTTTTGAAATAGACTTTGTCTCTCTCTCACAATAGACGTATTTACACTTGTATGCAAATTTGTCCGCCATTACGTAAAATCACACAGGTTCCCGTAAACTTTGACATCATAAATCAAAACATTTGACGTCACAATTAAAAAGTGATTGTTGCCTGACGTCAAAAGGTGATTCGGAGTAGATCTAAGGTCATTCGGAGGCAAGATATAGCTAAATACCAAAAGTGTAAATACGTTTATATATATTTGCTCCCTATAGAATAGTTTTAAATTAAATAATGATATCAATAGTAAGCACTTTGGTAGCCATTTCACCGATACCTATCATATCTATACAATTAAAAATTACATATTCTTGAAACATTGTATATATTGTTATTTTTATTAACTGTGATATTCAAATACATTGTGAAGGGTTTTTTTACAGGTCGCTGGCGCTCAATGGTTTATGAGTTAATGATGATCATAGTTGTAAATAATTGTATACATACAGTTATTGTTATTTGTGTCAAATATCTATTAAATAATTTCATTTTCAACTTAGTGTTCAGATTAATCAACTTTACAGTCTATATTCAACTATCTTAACATTCGCTCCCTTGATAAGTTAATGTTTGTTTTAAGTAGCTGAAGATTTTAAGTAGGTCCGCGAACTTATTCAGCAATATTGATGTTAAAGATATGTTGGTTTAAAAATGATTATGGCCTATCATTTGGTTTAATCATGTCTTTGTGGCGAAAAGGTTGTCGTCTAAACCATTACGCTCAATTATTTCGCTTTCTTCAACGATTATAATAAAATAACTGAAGTGGGCATCTTTTCTTCTATATTCAACTTACAAACATATAATTGGAAATCAAATTGTCATAAAAATCAGTACTAGTTTATTAATCGAAGCGATGTGAATTTCAAAAAAAAAAAAAAAAATCGGAGTGAGATTCTTGTTGCTCAGTCTTTAGTTTTCTTTTTTTGTTTGAACACGTTTACAAGTAAGTACAAATTCAGTTTTAATGTTAATATAGAGCCTGATAATAGTCAATTGAAAGATTGAAGAAATGTTGATAAGCCTTTTCTCAATATACTCCCAAACAAACACTATTAACTTGTACTTTTTCATAGATTGTTTTTTAACTCATTGTCATTAATTGTTGTTGTAAAACTCAACACAGTCTGATTTTATCTAAAATGATATTCCATGAGTGGCTGTTTAATACAGGTTTGACTGTAGTGTTTTTGAACTTGATTCTCTTTTCTTTGTCATTTGTCTTTTGCCATGTTGTTCTCAGTCTCTCTCAACTTATGAATTTCGGTTGTCCCCTTGGTAACTTTCGCCTCTGTTTACATATATAAGGAATACCAATAGCAACATGTTGGAACAAATGTATATTAGAATGGTATTTTTCTACTTTATGATTTTATATCATTTTACTGAAATAATAGAGTTATTCTCTTTAAAATGAAAATAACACTTATTAATTCCCGCGTCCGAAGCGCTTTTCTGGATCTACCTTCATCAGAAATGCTCAAACCCAAAATTTTAAAAACTTAATATCATCACCAGGTCGTTGTCCTGTTTATTGTCTGATGGATAACTTAGAGCAAAACTAATAGTAAGAATAATGAACTCATATAAAGAAATGTTGTGATTTAGTGATTAATTCATTGCTAGATTGTTGGTGTTTATCACCACATTCAGCACGCTTGGTTATAGCGTGGCGATCAATTTTTATTGTTGGCGGAAGCCGGAGACAACCAGATTTGCTTGCTGACATTCTAACTGATATTCAATAGAAGTCATATTTGATGTTGTATTTTTTACTATTTTATATTAAAACTGCAGGTCAGAAAATCCCTTGCACTATTTAAAGTTGTATGCAAAAGATGCATTTCTACATTTTCATATATAAGTTAACTAGTTTTCTTCCTACACGTGTATTCCTAGCTCCATTGATAAATTATAAAGAATGAAGCAAAGTATTTGCTGCTAAGAAATAATAAAAATAAATAAAAAGATATACTAAGATCGACCTACAATGCATTCAACGTCATTTCTACATTTTAGAGCCAATGATATAATGACCTCTGTTATAATTAAAGTCATTAGTATGTTATGTTATAAAATAGATGAAGGCGATAGTAGTTTAACGATTAAGAAAGGACAGATCGAGGTAACAAACATAAACTGAGGTGAAAGGGATCGAAATCGGGTGTGTCGACAGCGTGTCTCCTGTTATCTATATACATCGCCTGCCATATAACATGTTATATACGGAAAGACAATAACACCAATATCTCATAAAACAACAGGTTTGCAAAGAAAAGGCTAAACGATATAATATCTAAAACGAAACATTAGAGAAAACTGATTATAATTTCAGAGAAAGCTACTAGAAAGTGGCTATTTCGTAACATTCTCAAACGTAACAAAGTTATTTTATTTTGACATATAATACATTTGTATCATAAGAACATTAACATAAATACCTACAGCTGTAAAATCGAGCTTATTGTAAGTTCACGTTTACTACCCATATATGTTACGTATGTGTAAATGTATGTTGATGTTGGTGATTTATATTGCCTTCTAAAGAAAATTCGTACAAAAATAAAATTTGGATTCAGCTAACCAACTTCATCAACGTAGCTTTTATTACTATTGTTTGCCTTTGTCGGATATTATTTAGGGAAGCTGACTTATTTCGCAATAATTTATTTTTGGATGTAACACGTCATCTGATTGGCTGAAAGTTTTTTGTCTATCAGGTCATAGACATAATTTTGTCATGTGACCGTGACGACATCAACGCTTTTTTTCATGATTTACTCCTAAAAAATGAAATTTAAAATTGAATTATAAGGAATGACTGTAATATTTTTTCTGTCTATTCGAAATAACCTAAAAAATATGGTGCGCACTTTTAAATAACACGCTACAAGGGTTATTTAGTGTGCACCACGTTTTTTATGTCATTTCTTCATAGACAGAAAAAAATATTACTATCATTCCTTAAATACGTATAATAGAAGTCATATCTGATATTGCATTGGTTTTTGCAATTTTATGATGAAATCAATTGCTTCAGGTCAGACAATCCTTTACACTAATGGACGTTGCTTATAAAGGACTTTGTTTTTGCCTTTTCCATTTTTTTTTTCATTCTGTGCTTTTAAGCCTAGTTTTGTTTTCAACTAATAGTTTAAAAATGATTCAAAAGTAATTTGCTGAAGAGAAATAAAAAATAAAATAACGCTGGAAAAAAATTGTTGCCATGGGAGCCACTGGTATGAAAATTGATTTACAAATATGACATGGATATAAAATGCATAACTCTGAAAATCCTCTAGTTTCGACACAAACATTTAGAAAAGTTTCAATGAGAGAGCTATTGATCCGACAGTTACCATCTTCCTGAATGGGTTACTCTTCTTTTTCTTGGGTGACATCTTCTCTCCACAAATATTCTGATACTTTTCCTGCAATTTTAAACAAATCCGCATACAACTGTTAATTGAATGAGCTGTAATGATTTTTTTGCATTATTACAAAGAAGTCACAATTTTTATCTGAAAATATTGTGGAAAGATATCTTTTATACAACTAACAGCGAATTTAAATAATAGCTTCTTTGGTTTTTACTAGATATTTTACTGTTTAAGTCAGTTTTACATGATTATAAAAAAGTCGACCAAAACAGGAAAACGATTTAATTTCATGTGAATTTGCCAACTGTCTGGAAAGGTACATCCACGATACAAATCTAGCATTTAGATTGTCAGTTTCAAATCTTTTTTTTGTTTGTTTTTGTTATAAGAAGTCGATTTTTAAAGGGCAACATTTTCCATTCCTTTAACAAGATGTCTGTACCTACATTGATAATTTTGTATGAAACAAAGTCGCCTCATATCTGTCTTTAGTATAAAGATAAGAAGATGTGGTATGATTGCCAATGAGACAATTTTCCACCAGAGACAAAATTACGTAGAAGTTGGCAATCATAGATCACCGTACGGCCTTCGACAATGAGCAAAACCAATACCAGATAGTAAGCTATAAAAGGCCCCGAAATGACAAATGTAAAATAATTCAAACGAGAAAACTAATGGTCTGATTTATGTACAAACAATAAACGAAAAACAAATATAATAAAATATAAATATAATATACAGCAACAAACAATAACCACTGAATTACAGACTCCTGACTTGGGACAGCCACATACAGAATGTGGCGGGGTTAAACATGTTAGCGGGCGTCCAACCCTCCGCTAGGTTAGGTTTAGATCTCGTTATTTATTTGTGATTAAAAGGTTGAAAAGTGAAATGTTTAGGTAGCAAGCACTCCTATGCTGACTCGAAATATAATTGAAATAGTCATTTTTGATCTTTACAGTTTATGAAATGTTGAATTATTCGAAACACTTGGATTTTTGTACCCTCGTTTGGAATTGTTGGTTTTGATGTTTTCAACTTCGTTGTTTATTCGACCTTCCCAATGTCAGTTTGATTCGAGCACCACTGTTTTTTTTTTTTTTAGAATTCACATTTGATTTATACAAGCTGTATTGTGAGTAGCGTACAAAATTATAAGCTTAGTATCTTTGTAGTGGTTTACAGTTACTCTGGACAACGGTAATGATTGCCGACACAGACGATATTGTAATTTTGAAAGAGGTTTTGTGTAGCAATAAGCAAACCTTTTTATTACGGCACTTATTTTAGCATCCAAATAAGTGACGCAAGATTCTGTTTTCATCTTTAATTGAAACTTCGAGGATCATAGGAAATATATTGTTCAGGATTTCCTCTTACATAATATCTTAATAGTGTTGGTTAGGTTTATGCGAGGTTTGTACATAAATGTGCTCATTCCAAATTCCCGTATCAATCAGCTTATATAATACGACTTGCAGAAAACATCGACATGTTGTTTAATATTTCTGCGAGGTGAACAACGTATTTATCACGAATGACATACAGTTGGGTATTTCAATATGGATCCTTCATTAGTATTCAATGGTATTGTTAATTACGAATAGCATGCACTCTCTTTTTTCTTCTTTTTCAAATGAAATTCATTTCCTACTAATTATATATTACAAAGAGGTTAACGAACACAAAATAGTCTTGTTTATTACAAAAAGATGTTTAATATCACAGACTGTCCAATATGTCAGAGTTAATCATTATAAAGTTTACCTCATATTTTTCTTCTATTGTTTTTGCATGACGCCATCTTCTATATCCCTTTAATATATAAGTCATTAAAAAATTATTTCCTTGCAATATTGACCAGAGACGTGTTTATTTCAGGGGTTAAGAGGGATCCCTTGATTATTAAGGCCTTTATTTATATAATGCTCCGTATTTGGTTTCTGTTTCAGATCTCGAACGTTCTCGATGAAATATATTCAGATGCATATCGTGTGCACTACAATCAGTATCATATGTTATAGGTAGCTACAATTGTGTAGAAGTGTTGGCAGCCTTTGTATTTTATCGATGAACCATTCTTGACTTTCGTCTGGGACGTACCAAATGAAAGTTATTCAAGAAACACATTTTTATATAATTTACATTATCTATGATATAGTCGTGTTATCTTTTTGTTCTCTACAACCACAGTTTTCACACCTGGCTTTCTTTCTTTGCTATTTCTCTCAGTTTTGTTTCCTTCTAAATTAAGATCTTGTAGGGTTATATTAAATGTAAATAACACAATTATGAAATTCATCAATTTACAGTCGTTGTGGTTTGTTTGTCTTTAATCAAAATCAAAATCACAGTTACTAGTAAGCAATTTAGGCTAAAATTAACCTATGTTCTGAGTGGTTTGGTATTTATGAAGTGCTACAAATTGCAGCCTCTGTGTGTCAATAGATTCTTTGTTATTTCTTTTTTGGTAAATTGCATTGTATAAGTGTTCAGAAACTATGTGTAGGTTTTCGTCTTCGATTACTTACTTGTATTAATACATTAATAAAGAATGCTATTTGAAATATTGAAAACAGTATGATGAAGGTGACGAACGCCCATTTATCTGCTGACTTGCCATCATCTTCGTCTGATATCAGGACAACTATGGCGTGCCATATACACACAAGGTAAAGAAACGTCATGCTACCAAGTATATACCGGTCCTAGTAAAAATAGTCTAAACGACTTAACTTAAGAAAAATAGTACAATTAAAGCAACTCGTGATCAAAAACTCTACTTACTGCATTACGCTATTTTGACCCCCCCCCCCCTGAAACCGACTTTGATTGGGGATCTGTTAGATTTTAATGTTGCTCGTCCAGTTTTTTTATATTTTGTTTTTGTTTGATGATTTTCCAGTATCCTATATTTTGTGACAGAAAAAATATACTGCTAAATGCAAGTCATTCAATAATTTTCCTTAGAAATGTTTTTAAAGCAGATAGTATTTACGTAAATGGTTAGGTAACAGGTTACATGTACGTATATTTTTTTTTGTAAAATTTGGCAAGCAACTAGTGCATACGGAACTGAATACTTTTATCCTTCCGGAATAAAGAAAATCGAATTTCCTGCAGAGAGACGTACAAATGAGTAGAATACGCCTAAATATTAGAAGAAATGTTGAATATTTTTAATTCACATAGATAAACAGTTTTTGTCTTTTGTCCTTACATTGGTTATGTTCATACTTCGTGCCGATCTGGTGAGTCAAGACATTTCCAACTGATTTTTACAGTTTGTTCTTATGTCGTGCTGTACACTACTGTCTCATGTTAGGGGATGGTAACATGTTTAATCCCGCCAAATTCTATGTGCACCTGTTCAGTGGTTGTCAGTGGTTGGTATCTGTCATATCTGGATGTTGTTTTGTCATAAATCAGGCCGTTGTTTTGTTTTGTTTTATTTTTTTTTTCGTTTGAACTGTTTTACACGTTTTCATGTCGGGGCCTTTTATAGCTGACAAACTGGTATGAATTCGCTCATTTGTTGAAGGACGTATGGTGACCTATGTTGCTTAAATCCGCTTCATATGGCCATTTGTCTCATTGACAATCATACCACATCTTCTTATCTTATTTTTTTCTTAAACATAAGTCTTACTTATTGTCTTTAAAATAATAATAATATTATTGACTGAACAATTTCCGTTTTATTGTTATGAAATTTATTAGGGATCACCATAGTCATTTTTGCTATATAAATCATTGAAGTGAATGCGTCATTTGTACATGTATATGGAACATTGTAGAAATGGATTTAAACCCACCAAGTCACGATAACTTTTGCCTTTTTTGCGTTTTGCGCGCTGTTTTTTTATATTAATACTAATAATACTTATATTACATGTAAACTCAGCAAAAGTTTCAAAGTCAATAGACCATGACTAGGGGGCAAGGCCAAATAATCTCCATGAAAATAAAATGTGCAAATGCTAATATATACAACTGCATACCAAATATCTTTGACCTACCACTAGTGGTTCACCATAAACTAGACCTAATCACAAATTATTCATACATTGTTGACGCCGCCGCCGACGCCGGAAACAGTATTCTTATGTCTCACTTTTTGACTCCGTTAAGGCGAAACAAAAACCGAAAAATGGACCAGTGAATGACACCTGTAAAAGTCCTTATTTGACACAATTGCACTAAATTGTTTGTGAAATAACTACTGAACCGCTTTTTAAATCAGCGTTATTTTTAGAAGTTGAATGTAAAATTTCTCTTAATATATTAATGAATGATACTTGACGAACCATTCACCAGTTTAGAACCGCTGACAGCCACAATCAGTCAGCGTAAGGGAAATGCATATGTATATCGTGAACAATTTGAAAGGTTGATAATGCCTTCAGGAAGCCGATTTTCAAGATAATTATCATTAGCTTGTACATTTCAACAATCAAATATACTTGTAAATCTATATTACATAGTTTGATAGAAACGCACATTTTCAAGTAGATCATTTTCCTAACCACTGGGGAAATCATACAGTGAGATATTAAGACGACAGTAGTTTACGGAAAACTAATACCGATGTTCATATCTCGCAATTAAATTCGGAAGAGACAAATCAAGATAACAAACAGAGACTGGGGAATCACATGTACTCCAAAAGGATCGAGACCGGGAGTGTCGACAGAGTAAGTGTCTCCTGCTATGCATGCGATCACCCACCATGCGAATTCACGCACAGGAAAAATTGTCATAATCGGAAAGAGGACACACTCGATAAAAATACAGATCAGACGACTATTAGAAGTGAGAAGTTGAATTTGTGTATTGTTAACATGAAAAAAATAAATGCATGACAATGGCTGCTTTGGGGGAATGTATGAAACATTTCCTAGCCGCACCGAGATAGAAAAAAAACAGTCTCAGTGACTTCGCCCGTCTTTCTGTCAGCTTGAGGTTGCATCTTAAAATACGAGGTCCTTTGACGTAATTGTCTGTCAAATGACTGTGTGATGCGCACATGTTGTGTTTGTGCTTTTCACTTTTGCTTTCAACATTCATCACTGGTTAGCAGCTTGCTGTTTAAAGGAAAGCCGAGGTTGTAAGTCTTTCCTGCCAGTCACAGTCTCTTAAGTCTTAAGCCTCTACAGTAGTACCTATGTGGCCCAGATATGGGATCCTCCCCGAGGTGACAGATGGCAACTGAGCACCTTACGACCCTAGGCAGAACCACAAGGTCTCGAAGGAGGTTTTGCCCCTAGATACGAGGCATGCTAGGCCCAACGGTGAGTGAATATGCCCTGATGCCTGTAAACCAAATCCCCAACTATGGGTAAATAGCCCCACTGCCCTGTGGGTGACCCTGGAAAGTCAAATAGATATAGGAAGATGTGGTATGAGTGCCAATGAGACAACTCTCCATCCAAGTAACAATTTATAACAATAAACCATTATAGGTCAAGGTACGGCCTTCAACACGGAGCATTGGCTCACACCGAACAGCAAGCTATAAAGGGCCCCAAAAATTACTAGTGTAAAACCATTAAAACGGGAAAACCAACGGTCTAATCTATATAAAAACGAGAAACGAGAAACACGTATGAACTACATAAACAGACGACAACTACTGTACATCAGATTCCTGACTTAGGACAAGTGCAAAAAGGCTATTACAGACAACCCAGATAGAAATCCGTTAGCATGGTAATGCAATCATCTACGGGAAGAACTATCCAGAGAGAAAACCCGACCCATCAGAGTGAAGGTTTGACGTGGGGCTTACAATCCAACTCTGTAAAAAAAAGAGCTTGTTACAGAGACCGGAAACGCTAAAACAGCGTGAAGGCCTTATGCTACTTCTGGCGCGGAGAGAATTTAGGTTAAGGAAAGGTTGACGCAATGGTTTCATATACTAGTATATGGAAATGTTTGGTCATAAATTACAAATAATGTTTTCAAAATGCCATTTCGATTACATTTTTGTGGCGTGAGGTCCATTAACATTTTCGTATTCTTATACCTGTTAACAATATCCTACAATACATCAGGATCTCATTTCCATGACGTCTATCCCAGGATGGATTTCAAATCAAAAAAGTTTGGTAGCTATTTTGTCAAGTTAACATTCTACCGCCATTTTGGTAGGTCCTTTTTCTACGTAAAATTCCAAATATGCCAATACACATATAATGCATCGTGATCGCATCACATAGGTTATTTGGAAGATACATTTTATTGTTGGTAGAATGTTTGACATAATCGATATATAAATGATTACATATTGCCCTTTTAATACGACCATGTTATGTATCTAAAACATATAAACATGCCTGTACCAAGTCCGGAATATGACACTTGTTTTTCAATCGTTCTGTTGGTTGACAACGTACTTTGATTTTGTCTGTTTTTTTATGGACTTCCCCTTTAGATTTACCTTGGAGTTCGGTACTTTTGTAAGAGTTTCTTTTTTTTTACTTTATTTCGTATTATTTATTTGAAGTACGTTTTATAATACGATTTTGGTGAAGTTTGTTATTTTCTTGTATTTTTTTACATTATCATTTAACACCTACTGTGTTTATGGTTATTCTTATTGAAGAGTCTGAACTTCTGAACTGTGGGGCCTGATGGGGGGGGGGGGGTCTCATCACGATTCACGAGTTGATTTTTTTGTCAATCACGATTCACAGAAAAAAAATTTCCATGATCACGGATCACGAAAATATAAAAAAAAAAAATCTGTAGAAAAACGGATCACGATAGCGAAAATGCGCCGATCACGAAGAACGAAAATAACCCATCAGGCCCCTCTGAACTGCCTAGAAAACAATTTGTTAATTAAACTTACCAATTGTGTCAAATAAGAGATCTTTGGTATAGTTTGATTGGCAACAAATTTAAAGGCAACTCCAGTTAAGACAAGTGTAAACGATAGCTGTAGTCGATTCTGTGGTTTGTTCCTGTCTACAGAAAACGTGGCTATCGACAATGAGCTAATGAGTGTCTACAAAAAAAAATAATATCTTAATATCATTACACTTGAAATATATCGACTAATAACTTAAAGTCTGTATAGGAATGGGTTGAAGAGTTGATAATCTTGAGATATTAAGTTCTGTTTTAAAAATACAAAAAGTCAGTTTGATCGCGACGGAAGAGAGTAGTGCTAAGTCTTAACATGACTTTGTAGTTACAAAGACACCACTCCTATTGTTGTAATTATTGCAATCATAACAAGATTCATTGTCCTTCTAAAAAATTATTGATTTGGCACCAGTGATTGAAATGTGCATACTCGAGAAGTTATGAGTGTACTTGATTGGTATTCTTAAGTATTTCAATGGGAAGGAGACGATATTTTTCCCTTGGCCTCCATTCTGAGTTCTAGTGTAGAAAATGATTAAATGTTTAGCTGTAAATACCGTTCCCCAGATATTGGTCTGTTGATACCAAAATAGTGTTTACGATTTTTTCCACACAGTCGAGTGCTTGATTTCAGTCTTCAGACTTAGATATAAGAAGATGTGGTATGAGTGCCAATGAGACAACTCTCCATCCAAGTCAAAATTTATAAAAGTAAACCATTATAGGTCAAAGTGTGGTCTTCAACATGGAGCCTTGGCTCACACCGAACAGCAAGCTATATAGGGCCCCAAAAATTACTAGTGTAAAACCATTCAAACGTGAAAACCAACGGTCTAATCTATATAAAAAACGAGAAACGAAAAACACTTATGAACCACATCAACAAACGACAACTACTGAACATCAGATTCCTGACTAAAGACAGGTGCAAACAATTGCAGCGGGTTTAAACGTTTTAATGGTACCAAACCTTCACCCTTATCTGAAACAATAGTGTAACATAGCAACATAGAAAGACACACTATAAAATATCAATTGAAATGGCTTAACTCAATCAAAAGACATATTAACACCAGTGAACCTACACTGAACAAACAAATTTAATCTATGTCACAATGTAAATACAAAATAAATAAACTAAGGGAAGAATAATTAAAGTAATATGTTATACCGCTGTGAAATGTTAAACAATTTAAGAAAAACAAAAATATCAGCCATTTGCAATTACTTTGAACACAGGTAAATGAAAATATTTTTGTTGTTAGGTATACGTGTACAGTTCAAATGGAGAAAGGAAATATTTTTACAAAATAAATAATTTTGATGTTCATAGTACGAAGAAGTGAAAATTTATAGTAATACCAAACACTTATCAAAGCTGGTATATAGACCAGATATAACCCTGAATATGTAAACATTAAATAACAAAAAAGCATTAGTACATATAACGAAAACTACATGAATATTTAATATCAAAAGTAAACCCGAACCGACATCTTCACATCAATATTTTTACCTTTTTCACTATTAAAATTATATTTTATTGTCACGATTCGAACGACTTATATATGATTTTTAAAACAGATTTTACCTTTTTTTTTGTAATGACAGCAACATCAACACTGTGTTGGTAACTGATACGACAACAAATATGCATGAGAAATATATAATATACAAATGATCGACGTGTGTTCTTATAGTACGGGATGTATAGTGACTCAGTCTCGTCCCGATTGATTTAAGAGACTATTTTCATACATCGACTTTTGACTCCGGAGTGTATATTTTTTCGACACTTACCTTCTCTGTGGTAGGACATTCTGCGCCCCCCCCCCCCCCCCCCCCCCACCACCACCACCTAAAATCCTGGATCCGCCCCTGTCTCCCTTGGTTTACACTTTTAATCTATGACATTTGTCGGGAGAATGATGTGCATTGTATTAGTTTAAGAATAGTAGAAAGAAATCTTCTTTTGAGTGTTTAGTCGGCCTTTTGTAAAGTAAAATTCTGTTTATCCGGACTGTTTAAAGTCAAAGTTATTATGACTGTTCAGATAATCTGTTGTAAATCAAATAGTCTTACCTCTTTCTCAATACACTCTGTTGAGTCGATCGAAATCGAAAGCAATCCTTTTTTTAATTCTTAATCTACTAAGTATTTAGATTCCTCCAATCAGTATGTGTTCTCGTGCTGAATATGCATTTACAGTTGTACTGTTAGCGATTACAGAATAATCAACCGATATTGGTCGACAAAAAGCTTCTCTACATTCTTAAAAACTAACCATGCATGCACATGGGCTACAAATCTATCTTTTCTTTCCTTTGTTTTTAGAACCAATAGATACTTATTATTCCCAGCTGATATTGTATTATTTCCTTCATAAAAAAAATAATTATTCATAAATAGATAATATAATGATGTATTGTTTTGCTTACCGTCTAGTATCAAATAATCCATGTATACTGAAGGTAAGAACAAAATAGACAAGAAATAAAGTAGGTATTTCTTCAAATTATGTGGACCTTGGTGAAGGGCTGAAATTTTGACCGCCACTCTGGAACCTGTATTTTAAGTAGGTTGATAATAATAATAATCACAAAACCAAAATGCGAAGTCTTACCATAATAAGTAAAACATTCCAAACAAAAAATCCTGCACGGCGTCTTGCATTGCACGATATTATAAGACCCGGATGTTTGTATTTGGTATTTGCATATTCTTTGGTTGAAACCTTTGGTGTAAACTCAACAAATTCAAACAAATGCCACTCTTGTTGTTTTGCAAAAGTTTCTGTGTGAACACTTGAGATTTCTTTGATTTCCTCCAAGAGTTCTACATCAGCTTCGGAATGTTCTGTACTGACATTCACTGATAAATCCTGAAATTATCAATCATAAAATAACCGTAGCAAATCAGTTTTTAGTCCCCTTTATCAAAAAAGAAACAGAGTGACACACATGCTCAGAATTATTTACCTTCCTACAAATACTCATACCGTGGCAAAACAAAAACGTAAGAGGAATCATAGAAAACAAAGTTGCGTAAAGATAAGTCATATCTTATTTGCATTTTCGAAAACTAAATATTTACATACAATTCCAGCCTAATTCATTTCAGTTTCAAACCACCTCGGCAGTAAAAGGATCGGTATTTACAACGAAAATTAGATTCAAATGTCAATAAATTGTATTGTTTTGAATTTGTATGTAATATTTGCGGCTGGACAATGAGCGTCTATTGAAAAATTAATCATGTCATTATGTCAGTTTTCAAGTTTTCAACATGTAGACTCAATTACTGTTGTCACATCTATGGTCGCAAAAATGCAACATCTTCATCATTTCGAACTAATGGATGCCGGTAGCATCATGTTTTTTTTTCCAAATCTAGCAATTAACAGCCTTGCGTTCCGTAATTATAATTATTTTTAATCAATGGAAGTATTTATATGGACCGGTCGTAAGTTCGTCCTTTGGACTATATTTTAATACTCATCAGATTGTCTGTGTTGGAGATATAGAAATGGTATCATTTTCAGTAAAAAATTGAAGGTTCTTGCAATTGAACCATAAATGAACCATAAAAATGATATTAAATGAAAGGCGACACTTCCATTCATTGAAAAGTAATACGATATCAGTTACTCAGACAACTAAAATCATTCAACTAGAAAGGATTGAGAAGATGTGTAACTACATTTGGTTAGTTACCTTTTATACATTTTCCAACTGAAAACAACAGTGATATGATTATGTTTTATCTTATGTAAACTGAATGCTTTGATAAGGCCATTTATTCACAATCATTGTGGGCCTATTGGAAACGTTTAGTATATCGAGGGTAACTATAGGTAACATGGTTTTAAGATGATAGACTTATGAATGGATAACATTAAGGAATAATTTCGAAATTTGATGCATTGGTTGAGCGACAAAACATGTTTAAATATGAGAAATCTCATTGAACCCTCTGATGATATCCAACCTGTTATCTTCTGAATGTTTTTGGTTCGCTAGCCTATTCACGCTCGCTGACGATTCATTACCAGGTTAAAAGATTGTGATAGATACTACAATTCCTTCTCTTGTACATAAAGAGGAATAACTCTAATTAACACAAAGATGCAAGATTATATGTTGGAAAAAATACCTGGATATCAAATGGAAACAACAAGAGTTCTAAATTTTCCGCGAATGTCGCCTTTATTCTTTGTTTATCTATAACAAAAGCTTCTCCGTTTTCTTTCTGTAAAACTTTCCAATGGTCATGTCTGGTCTCTGACAGGACATTTTGCACTTTTATCTTTGCGTCCCAGTAACTCTTCCAGTCGATGTCCGTTGACTAAAATAAACGGTTAATGATATTTACAAACAACATTTTTTTGTTTTATATTTCAAATTATATGTAACAAGTAAAGGCTGCATATTTGCATATCGGAATAAGCCTTTTTCTGATTAATTGGTATATTGATTAATTACCAGACGATTGAAAGAATTGAGAAACTTAATGATTTTGAATATTTAATGGTCAAAATATCACCTTCCAAACTACATTTTCAAAAATAATCATAGAACCTAACATCTGTAAATTCAGAAATTATTGCGAGGTTTTTATTAATGCAAATAATGCGACTGGTTGAGTATCGCAATATTAAGAACTCGCATTCTAATATCTGATACATATATCATGTATGACGATTTTCCCGAGATCTCAATATATAATCTTGCATTTTTGTCCATTCTTTAAAATTCGCAATAATAAATGCACGCAATAATTTCTGAATTTACAGTATTTACTTACACATTTACCTTTCGTAGCTATTTGGAAGAATATTGTACTGCTAATGCACGTTTAAAATTTGGCATTGAAGGATACCAGGACCCAAAATAATTTGATTCGTATTTAAAAGTCAATAAAACTAGAGCATTTTGATAGATTTTTATTTTGTTGTTTAATTAGTTCTGTCGCAATTGCAATTTCAAGCAATCTTAAAGCTTTTCTTATTTGAATCGTTTCTCACATTTCAGCAGTGTAAATCAATGATGTAAGAGCTTAAAGATTCATATTTCAGTAAAATTCACAAACCTCTTTGAAATGGCCATATTAGCGAAATAAATAGAGTGGAAAATAATCCATTTTCCGTTCATTCAGCTTTTAACATAATCAAAAAGGAGATGTGAGGTAAAGATCAACGAGACAGAAATTAATCAAGACATGTTAACTTCTAATAGACTTTCAAACCAATCCAATTGGAATGAATCCGTCTATTGACCATTGTTTAGTACTGGCAAAGTTAAATCATACATTTTGATTGTAAACTTTGACTATAAGATTATCATTTATTGTAATAAAACTAACTTAAAGGTTCAGATTCCCCGAAGGAAAAGTTTTTGGCTACTGTGTTGGCGTCCTTTTTGATTTTGATAGTTCAATGAATTAACCTTTGCTTCTCAAACATTTGGCTTCGGTCGTACCTGGTAAAGCCTATCTAAGAAATTTGTGTCGTGGATGTGCACAGAAATAGGTTACATCGCTTATACTAAACGTCACCGATAGGTACCCTCGATATACTAAACGTTACCCATAGGTACCCTCGATATACTTAAACGTTACGAATAAGTACCTCGACAATTATTAAGGGAATAATCTATAAATTGCAAGTTATAAATTTTAATTAGCTGTAACTGAATTCATTAAAGACTGAATATTAGACGACACATCTGATTATCAGCAACGTATTCCATATGAGGTCAAAATTATAAAAAAAGAAGTAATAACAGACAAGAGGTCAACTTATATCATCTTCTAATGGGTCTCTAGAAAAAGTAACGTCTCTGTAAACTTGAACGTTCATTGTTTTTGTCTTTAATGTCATAAAACACAGTTTGTGACAATAAAAGATAGGCGGAAGACACCAAAGGGATATTCAAACTCATACGTCGATTACAAACTGACAACGTCATGGCAAAAAAAAACGAAAAACGACCAAAAGACAAACAACAGTATACAAAACACAAATACAGAAAACTAAAGACTTAAGCAACACGAACCCCAACAAAAACCGGGAGTCACCGCAGTTGCTCCGGAAGGGTAAGCAGATCCTGATAAACATGTGGCACTCGTCGTGTTGCTCATGGAAGTATACTAGTATACTCAGCGATAAGTCTAATTTGGTGAAGTCACATACGCGGAAAAGAGGATGGACAATGGTTACGACAATTGGAACATATTCGTAGTCATCTGTTAAACAGATATTACATAACGGTCAACTGACTCGCGATGGCGTCCGTAAAATTGTCGAAGGTATTAAATCAATATCCAATCTAATTAAAATATAGATCTCTGATTTCGTTATACTACATATGAGTAGTATAACAAAATCAGAGATCTATATTTTAATTAGATTGATCAATATCACCATTTGAAATCTTTAGTTTAATAGCTTCCTTGTGAGCAGCAACTCTCTATCAAAGGAATTATGATAGATAATGCAAGCTCTGGAGTATCGTATCAACTAAGATATATAGACTCCATATGCAGGCGCTGCTGAAATGTCACTATATAAAAATGGAAGATAAGAGACAGCCTCAACTGTGTCTGGTGTATCCTTTATTTCAGGATCGATTGGTAGATGCTTTCAACGTAGAATTATTTAGCGAGAGGACAACATCTATACAGTGGATGTTAAAGGATAATGCTAGCTTTTTTTCATTCTTCCAAAGAAGCTCTTGTGTGAAGTCTGCCTCATATGAATGAAGGAACTAGTTGGCAAGAAGAGGAGTACAGTTTGATTCCATGGGAATTACATGTGTAAAGGATAGAAAAGTCAAATGTTTTTATACTATTGCAAACAGGAAAGAGACTTAGATTATATGTACTTGAACAGAGCTTTGAAATTTTAATGTTTATGAAAATTAATTTTAATATTTTAGAAAGAGGTTTCGTGGAGCACTTGGATGTCCAGCAATATAACATTGTTTGTAACGACACTAATGTAATTTAGGAATCCAATAAAGTGAAGGAAGATCCTTTTTGAAATTCAAGTTGTTATTGGCTTTTTAACTTACTTTCAGTAACTGCGAGTACTATCAGATCTGTACTGTGTGTCTTTTGTGTTTTTGTTAGGGTTTTTATGTTCTTTGTATCGATCTGATAAGTTATGCCCTTTTCAACTGATTTTTATGGATTGTTCTTATGTCGTACTATTGCACCACTGTCCCAGGTTATATCGTTTATTGATGTATATCATATTTGTTTTTCGTTTATTGATTTGTACATAAATCAGGCCGTTAGTCTTCTCGTTTGAATTGTTTTACATTTGTCATTTCGGGGCCTTTTATAGCTTACTATGCGGAATGGGCTTTACTCATTATTGAAGGCTGTATGGTTACCTATAGTTGTTAACTTCTATGTCCTTTGGTCTCTAGTGGAGATAGGCAGTAACTTCCTCGTGCAAACTGTATGGTATTAATATTTTTGCATTAGCTTTTTTTAAGCGTATATAATTATGTAAACAAAAATGCGCTTCAAACTATATATAGAGAACTCGCTCGTACCATACGCAGTTGGTTAATATGTCAAATGTATTTGATATGGATCTTATTAATACATTTTTTTTTTACTATATATTTGGGTATCCGATCGGAATAATACTTCAAGAAAGGAATTATTTGCTAAATGTAATCAACTAAGTTAACAAGGGCCCCATAGAATATGTTTAACAATTAAGACATTAAAACTTCAACTGTATTACACTGTATAACGACCAATAAACAATCTGTTGTAAAATATTTTCCATGCAAACATAGACTACAGACTTTTGTGATTTTCATAGTGATTTAATTACATTTTTGTTTGGTTTTTGTTCATTAAAATGGACATTTTATATCCAAACAAATATTTGAGGTATCTGTAAACATAAAAGGTCAATAGTACATGTACCAAAAAAAAAAAAAATAACCACAAGAAATTATTTTTTGTGGGAAATACAATAGAAATATAAGCACAAATAATAGACATTTAACAGTTTAAGATGCCTTTACATTCGTATAGTTATAATAACGTTGCGTTTCGAAAGAAAAATGAAAAATTTGAAAGGGGAGGGTTGAATGGTGGTTTTTATGGAAGTAAATAGAGTAGTTCCTACAGTGTTGTAGGAAGATAGTGAAACCTTTGAATCCTTTGTACTTTTTGTAATCTAGGTGGTAAATAAATAGGACTATATTGCTTGAATACGTATTAAATATTCAATACCTTTATAAAATAGTTTATTTTGGAGAAATATCTTTCAACGAACTTATGAGAATATTTAAGTCCAGCAATGTCATTGGTGGTGACACCGCTTCGTCATAAAGATGTCATAGTTAACACGTTTGACCACAAATAGCCATTTTACATGGTTTTTAGGAGGTAATTTAAATTACATTGAATTTATACTATCATCGGTGCATACACATCTACACACGACAACTTATGACAGAATACGCTTCGGGTAATGCTGTTTCTCATATCTAAATGTTGATAGGAAGAACTAATGCAGTTTATGCAGCTTTGACAGTTTTCTCCTGGAATTTGAAGACATTCAAGTAGATATCAACATACAATTCAACTATAATATGACTAGAAGTTGTCAGAAAAATGTCTTGTGAATATCTGGAGGATGTTATCATGTCATTTTAAGTGACATAATTTAAAGAAACAATGTCTTAAAGTTATTATTTTGTTTCATTTGTAAATTGATAACTTACAGTAACTGCTTGCTTGTCGAGCTGGGGTTCTCTCCATCTGGACTGTATATAAACGTCTGCTGTGAAATTTTCTTTAAGCGTGTCAATTTCGCCTATTTTCAGAAATGATACTTTGATAAACACTTGTCTCTGTAACCAAAAAAAAAAGCATAGCACAGAAAATTAGTATTAACGTAATCTTTATACTGTTAATGTAAGATATATGAATAATCAAATAAAGATTTAAGGTTTTCTGTGAGTTTTCTTTTATAATATTGTGTGTCCTTCAGATATTGGCTGCATGGTGCCTTGTCCGCAAACATTATTAATTAGATATTAGAAGTGTTTAAAAAAATATTGTACAAAAGATCAATATATGAACATTTTATAAAACACCATTTCTTTTAATTGTATAGGGGGGGGATGTCGTTGTGGTAAGAAAAAGTTCATACGGATCTTAACTAAGTTATTTGGAATATTATATAAAATTTGTAATACCGCGTGCCGTATGTCTCCTATGGAGGACAAAACATAGAGCAACGGTTCCAATGCCAGAATATGATGTAATAGTGTTGTTTTTGGAATCAAGTTGACGTCAGCTTTAAATTTGATTACATTTTTTTTTTAAATGTATTAAAATAACATATCATTATCTTACATTTTTGTATTTATACGTTTTCTTATTTATAGATAGGTTGTTTTTAAACATTATTGGTTAACCGATCACATATAAACAACATTTTTCATACCATGAGAATGACAGAGCTATTTCTATCAGGCGTTAAAAAATACATGTTGCATAAGATAATATTTCAAATGATAGTGTAACGTTCTGTTATAATTGATTTCTCCCTTTGATGTTGTCAGCAACACATAAAAACTGCATTACTCGAGGCTGTAGTTTTCAATCAAAATCACTTCACATTCGATTAATCGTTGGCATTTAAATCTGTTTCTCCATACTTTAAGGCATTCTGTCGTTAAACACATGCTGTTACAAATACATTTTCTCATTATCATTGTCCCAATCTGTACTTTCCCTAACAAGAAAATCTGCTAAATCAAATACCAAGTTAGATAATTATATAATCGAATTTACTTTTCGTATAATCAACAGGGAATTATAACTTCTGGCGACCATCTCGCTTCAGAACAAAGTCTTTAATGGTGATAAATGCCAAATGAAATCGATCAGGAAATGCTATGTGGTATGATGTACTGTCTATTTTTTTTTTTTTTTTTTTTTTTTCTTTTTGTTAATTCTTGTTATTTATTTGTGAATTCTATAACCAAAAGAGAATCATAGCATCTTCGTCGTCACTGCCTAAGTGAATAAGTGTAGTAGTGAATATTTTCCTTTTGAAAGAATGCACAAGTGTAACGGAAGATCTACACACCGCAGTGAAAGAACATTACTTTTTATCAATCTATAAAATAAATAAAGTTGAACTGACAATTTATTAAATTTAAACATAAAAAAAAACGTTATGATCATGATTCATGGGCAAGCACTGGCTTCAAAGATGATGTCAGAAACAGTTCATTACTGATAATTATATAGACCAAGTCAAACTCTGACGCGAGGTCAATTTCCGAAACAGAGTTCAAATTAATTCCATGCAGTCTGCAATACTCTACTTATATTTTGGTCAGTTTTTCGTAATATAGAACGGAAAGATATAATCCCTGTGGAGAAGGTTAGCTCAGCGTAGCGACGTTGTCGCTGTTTCGCAGTTTCAGTCTACATCAAAGTGAAAGATACCAACGGGACATTCAAACATTCCAAATTAAAATAACTGCGTTCGACGATCGAGCTTTTATGTTTAATCTCTAACTGGAACCCAGGAGATCTAAAGATAAATGTAAGAATTGAACATCGTCTCGTTAGTTTTCGACCAGCTTTAATTACCACGTTCGCCTCTGCGTTTTATCAAAAACATTTTGCCTAAATAATGATTACAGTTTGTTTTTGTATCGATGTGTATTTGTATAAGAAAAGGTAATAATGATAATTTATGGTTCACTCTGGCTTTCCATAAATGATTCTTTTATCTCATTTTTTTATATATATTTTTCAACTGATTTATTTCAGGAACATGTTTTTCATTTTTTTTTTGTATATAAGGTTACATCTAACTGAAGTCCTGTTATTTAAATGCACTTTTCCTACTGAAAACAGACGATAAGGGTCGTTTGTATTGCATCTGCAACATGGAGAAATGTCACTATTACTAATATTACAGATCTATCTCTATTATCGTAGCGTAGAGGCTAAAATTACGATAGTATTATATCAATAAATTGGTCATTATCTAATGGCAATTACATCTAAAAGAGAATGATAAATATCCTTTGTTTGAATTTTCCGATTGTATCCAATGCAAAAGACAGGCCAAATTGTACCACTATTATATGATTTGAACATTTTAATTCCAGTCATTTAAGCTGTTTGTTTATATATTAAAATGGGAAACGCAATTTTGATTCTGATATTCAAACTATCAGATACCTTTATGGAAGCGATAACAGTAAGGGAGACTAAAGACCAAAACTTCTACAACCAGAAGTTAAGGCAAATGTTTAACGAAAAACAAGACGTATCCATCCACACCATTGATAGTGCTCCTACCAATCTCAGTGATATATTTCATTAAAATAATTCAAGTCCACAGGATTTTTTTCTTTTGAAGTCAATAACTTTGTTCTCATCCGTGTTGGTTTGACAAAGATATTAAATCTTTTCATATCATGTATTTTAATTATCTCTCCAGTCATTTGTGAAATAATTGTCATGTAAAACAATGCCGGATGCATCAAATTAAGATTTTATTGAAGTTTAATTTTGTCTTGATATCGTGCGTCACGGAGGCATGTATCAAGCTATTATGTTCGACTTTAAAAAAAAAAACAACGAATAACACAAATTGGTTTGAAACAATATTCTGTTAAATTTATTACCAGAAACATTTGTATGGAATATATATATACCTCCCAGCTAACGCGATACAGTGCAACAAAAGAAAATAAGGCCTGAATTTCAAGTAATGATTTTCAGGAAAGACAGTCAATCCTTTTGAAGGAAATAAGATACTTACACATGTAAATATATCTATGTTAAGAAAACATATTTGACATTGGTCAAATGGGTCGAAATTGTGGAAAATTTTGACTGCAGTTGACGTGACGATACACAAAAATGGAAATTCAATGCTCGTAATGTGGGTGGATGATTTGTTTGTAATTTTTAAAATATCTATATTTGGTTAAAAACTGCTGAATATTTTCTAATTACTTGGTGTCTTTTCTGACGAATTTGTGTTATTGTCTCATTCGTAGAAAAACTCATTCAAATAATATTCAATTATACATTGTTTCTTTTGTACCCCCGTCGATTTCCATATTGGAACAATCCTATTTACATCCTATGGTGGCCGGTTAAGGCCATTTCGCGTTTTCGCGTTTTCGCCCATCATATTCTATAGAGCGAAAAGTCGAAAACGCGAAATCGGAATGAAAAAAAGTTTCGCGTTTTCGCGTTTTCGACTTCGCGTTTTTCGCGTTTTTGCTCTATAGAATACGCAGGGCGAAAACGCGAAATGGCCTTAACCGGCCACCATAACACCCTTCTGTTTGTGGTTGAATTATGACAGTCATAAAGACAAGAAGCTTGACTAAGATTATATAAATTTCATATTTTTAAAAGATTTGATGAATATTATTTCACTATACTTTAAATGTCAGCTTGGCCTTGGGAGTCTTGGAATTATTTTTGTCTACAACGCAATCAAACAGAAAGGCAACATATCTGCACAGCTTAGTCAATCATAACACTTTGCCACTATGTTACAATTTCTATTAGTTTTCCTTCATAGTTACCGAAAAATAGGGGTATTACAGTGTCCACATTCGGTCATTCGCCCACCAGACAACACAAGTCTGTGTTCTCAAATAAGTATCAAGTGATTTGTTATTACAAAATAGCGGATTGGTAATTGACTCTTATCTAACCCTAGGTAATCAAGCTGATTAGAATTAGTATAACTCAATGTTCATATTATTAAAAGGTTATATCTACTATTATTACTGGTTTGAAAATTTGAATTTATTGTTTAATACCTTACACATTTTACAAGTTATATTGCTCTTCAACTGTTTCGGTTTTATACATCCTTGGCTTTCAAATGTTCGGCTTTGAGCGTTCCTGATGAAGGTAAATCCAGAAAAGCGCTTTGGACGCATTAAATTTATAACGTGTTGTTTTCATTTTTTTCTTTAGTTCTTAGATCTCTTTTTTAGCTCACCTTTCCAAAGGAAATGTGAGCTTTTGCCATCACTTGGCGTCCGTCGTCATCCGTCGTCGTCCGTCCGGTGTAAACTATTTCAAACATCTTCTCCTCTGAAACTACTGAACCAATTCCAACCAAACTTAAGCTGGATGATTCTTAGGGTATCTAGAATAAAGATTTTGTTTTATTTTCTGCTTCGTCAAAAAAACATGGCCGCCATGGCTAAAAATAGAACATAGGGGTAAAATGTAGTTTTTGGCTTACATCTGAAAAACTAAAGCATTTAGAACAAATCCGACATGAGGTAAAAATGTTCATTAGGTCAAGTTCTATCAGCCCTGAAATTTTCAGATGAATCTAACAACCCATTGTTGGGTTGCTGCCACTAAATTGGTAATTTTAAGGAAATTTTGCAGTTTTTTGTTATTATCTTGAATATTATTATAGATAAAGATAAACTTTAAACAGCAAAAATGTTCAGCAAAGGAAGATCTACAAATAATTTTAATGACCAAAATTGTCAATTGACCCCTTAAGGAGTTATTGCCCTTTAAGGACAATTTTACACAATTTGTTTATCATGTTTTCTAACTTTAAAAAATCTTTTCTCTGAAACTACTGAACCAAATTAAACCAAACTTAAGCTGAATGATTCTTAGGTTATCTAGAATAAAGTTTATGTTTTATTTTCTGTTTCCTCAGAAAACATGGCCGCCATGGATAAAAATAGAACATAGGTTAAAATGCAGTTTTTGACTTATATATGAGTCTCGAAAACTAAATAAAGCATTTAGAGCAAATCAGACAAGTAGTTAAAGTATTCATTAGGCCAATGTCTCCTGCCCTGAAATTATCAGCCAAATT